GAAGAGTGCAGCAGGTAACGATTTCTTTAGATCTTGTTATTTGTACAGAGAGAGAGAGAGAGAGAGAGAGAGAGAGAGCTGATAAATTTTAGGTCTTATTATTTGTACAGAAATGGTGATGGTGCTGATAGGGAAGATCCGACAGCAAGCAGAAGAGTGCAGCAGGTAACCATTGCGAGAAATGTTTCTTTCTCATATTTGTAGTTATGTTGGGTGGCTCATGTGACAGGAAACCTCCAAGTGCTGAAGCTAAACAGGAGACGGAGAAAAAGGCCTCGAAAAGCACACACCTAAAGGTCAGACATATTATTTATTTTTAAAAAAGAGGAAACTATGACGTCACAAAGTCCCACGTATATACCTTTTCACACTTTATTGTATTGATCTCCAATCCACCATGTCTAATCTAAATGCTTTTCTTAGGTTGCTGTGCGGGTTGATGATAGCCAAAATGTGAGGCATCGAAAGAGGTGCGTTATGGTAATCTTGGCTCCATGTGCGTGCCACAAGCCTTTACTTGCCAATGCTCGGTGATCACGAAGGAATAATCTTGTCGAAACTAAATAAATGATATCAAAATCGAACATTATAATCATTAATACTACTGAAAGAGAGTAAAAGAAAATAAAAGAAATCATTCTACAGCGCCTAAATGCATGCTCATCCATCCGATCAGATCTCACATCGAATCGGGGCCTGTCGTTCTTGATGGGCAGTTGAAGCGGTCTTTATCTGGAGGCGAGGCCACTCGTCGGCCCGGCTTTTGGATGTAAATTAATGAAAGCCCAACACGAGTAATTTTTCGAGTAACGCATATTGAGCGTTCGATGTACCGTCCCTGTCATGCCATATAGTTGCCGACACCACACATTTACGAATACCAAAATCACCCAATTAAAAGACCGCATCATTGACGAGAAACAATTTGGGCAAAACACAAGGTTTATCACTAGCACATTAAATAAAAATGTTGTGGATTGATCACGCCGAAGTGCGTGCAAATGCACGGAGGCCCGTGCATGCCTTTGAGTGGCAAATCTTCTTCTTTTTCCTCTTTCTTTTGCTGATCTTTGATCTCAAAACACAGTTCAGCCATGTTCTTGGTGGGTCCTGTACACGTTTGAGGCCCCACTACTACATGCGCCACACATGGTTCAACAGTAAAGATATGGAAAAGGTTAGGATCTGAGTCAGAGAGCTGTTCAGGTCCCAAGTGGTAGCAGTGGAGTTGTGTTAAACAGCAAACCCTCCTGCAAGATCTTTCAGTCAGATGAAAATTCATTCAAGTTTTTCCAGCTTTAGAGGAGTGTTTATGATATCATAAAGGGGTCTTCATCAAAAAAAAATTTATCTATGATTTTTGCACCTTTAGATAGCCTCTTATGGTGCAGTGTGTGGAAAGAGTAGGTTTCAAATCTGCCTATAAAATAAAATATTTCTTTCTTTCTCCTCCACTCATAGAAAAACAAAATAAAAATCTCCAGGCTTTTTCTTTGACAGAATTAAGAAAGAAATAAAATGCAGGAGGATGATGTAATAGAGATGAAGCAGATCATGGAAGATGACAATGTTATTTAATTAACATGGACTGTATAACAAGTAATATCTCAAGATGATAAGAATTATCAACTGTGCATTCCGAAGCTGGGAACGTGTATCTTGACCGACTCCTGTGACATCGCATTCAGCACTCAGCTTTCGGCTTCTCCTCCTTAACGAGACATACTACAGTATGCACGCCAAACATCAACAATCAAGCCCCAAAAGAGCTGGCATCTTGACTGAAAATATAGGAAAAACAACAACAGTTACATGTATGTCTGTGCCCACACGACAAAGACCGATTCATGAACTCTTAATGGATGCATAACAAATCTTGCAGCAGGACTTGTCAGAAACCAAAACTTCGATCGGAGTCTCTTTCTCTCTCTCTTTCTGTGAGAACGGCTTCTTTATGTCTGGTCTCAGGGCACGAAGAGCTTGTTGCCGCACCTGCATCGCCAGGCCTCGGGGTAGTAGTCTTGCGGCACGCTCTGGCCCGGCTGGATCACGACGCGCACGGGCTGGCAGGGGAAGCACCGGCCGCACCGGGCGCGGCACGATGGAGGGGACGAGCCAGGGCCGACGAGTCGCTCCCAGTGCTCTTGTTCCGGTGATCCCAGCCGCCTTTCTTCCACTTCCTGATCGATTCCCACGAATACAACCCCTACATATCAGCAGCAAAACCAGACTCAACTCAAATGGGTGTTTTGGAACTTGGAAAGGTGATTGTAAGTGGCACAGACATCGGCTTTTGAGCATAAAAATGGCGTGTGTCGCCTCAGCAAAGCGAACAACGTGAAATTGTCGCCAAGTGGTAGCTTAATCAAGCAAAACGGGTTAAGTAGGATATCACCAAGACAAGGTTTTGAGTACGAATCTGCAAGAAAGTTGCGATTTTGGAGCGAACGTCATCGAGGACAATTCCCGAGGGAGAGATGAGGGAACTAAAGCATGTGGTGAGCGTCGATCTTACCAAGAGCTGCGGCGGCGAACAAGAGGAGGGCGAAGGCGGCGGAGAGGAGGCGGCACTGGTGGCGCAGGACAAGCATGTCCCAGATGAGTAAACTTCCCTCCCACTTTAGTAGCCAGCAGCCTTCGATGTGCAGCAATCTGTATTGGTACTTGGAAGTATAAGCATAAGCTTCCTCTGTTTAATATGTTTATTGTTGTTCCTCTCGGTGGGCGAGCAGGCCATCTTCCATGAGAGAGTTTTGAGGTGTAAATGATGATTAAAAGATACAAATAAGCTGAAACATCCTCGCGCGAATAATCCATTCCTAAGCCCCTTTAACATCCATAAATGCTAGACCAATTCGTTTGACCTATATTACTAATCAAAATATTTAAGATAAAATTAATAATCGTACATCGATCAAACTCTTATAAATCAATCTTAATTTTATCCATTTTGATATGAGACTAATCGTAATATTACAATTTCTCCGCTCAAGATTTTTATTAACTTTTAACATCTAGATTAGTTTCAAATAGATAAGATTAATATTGACTTATAAAATTCAGATGAACATATTATTATCAATTATAGTTTAAATATTTTGATCAATGATTTAAATTAAATAAATTAATGAATCAATTAGTCTATTATGCTTAGATCATGATATTTAATATTAAAATTGACATAGTATTTGAGCATAACGACGAGAGAGCTCGAGTATGAAAATGCTATCATGGGATGGAGTAAGAGCACTCATGACAATGTGAGAGCCATCAAAAGTGGAAAAAAATTATGCTTGACTTATAAAGGTACAATGAGTATATTGTTATTAACTTTGGTCATTTTGATCAGTAATTTATCACTTATCCAAAAAACATAAAATTCTCAGATAATTATTAAACAATTAATATTTTGTCAAAGATTTAATTATTAAATTTAAGTATAGCTCCCATGTAAATAATATTTAAGATGATATAATCATATGTAAAACTAATTTTTATAGATGATGCAGAAGAGATGGGATGATGATATTAATAATGTAAAGAGAGGCAGAAGAAGATCTAAGAAAATATTATTAAAATATACAAATATTTTATGTTATTTATTTAAAGATGTTATTTTGTCTAATACTTTCAATCCATACAGTGAATTCAAAATTACATATGTTGTGATTCATTGTTATATGATATTCTTTTTTTTTTAAGGACTAACTCGTATAATAATAGTAATCTTATCTCAAACAATCAAACTATTATGATGTTGTCAAACCTTTCTTCTCTTTTTATTTAATGATTAAAATTGAAAGATGATTAAAATATTTTTTATTTTTTTCTCAAAAGATGCCCTAATTTTATTTTTTTTCAAATAATATCTTTACTTTTTATAATATCAAAGAGACCCCTTCTCCTTTTTTATCCATCAGCTTTTCCTCGTAGCATATCCTTCCCCACTTGTCATGTGGATTAGCAATAACGATCTCGTTCTTCATATGACGATATAATCGAGTGGCAAACGTGAGGCATATAGGGTCATGGTGCTAAATTGAGATTAGTAAAGTATATGAAGTCATCAAGAAGACAGTTGACCTAGGTGGGCTAATGACAAAGAGAATCTCGAGCATGTGGGAAGTGAAGGAGATCATCAAGAGTAAAAGGAGGTTGATGATGATATTTGGAGTTAGGGGTAATGGCCACTTTGGGAGTAAGTGGGAAAGGATAAGCAATAAGATCTCCAATGGGGTATTGTGGTAGATGGAGATAATAAGACAAAAGCAATAAGATAACGACGAAAGAAAGATGAGGAGTATTTTTGAGATTATAAGAAGTTGAAGCATCATACGAGAAAATAAAAAAATAAAAGTATTAAAAGAACCAAAAACTGATTTTTTTTTTCAAAAATCTTCCAAAATTAAATGAGCCGCTTGAATAATTACATGAGAATCCCAATGAATAATTTACTAAAAATCATTCCAAGTAATAGAAATTTTTTTTTGGGCTTTGACTATGTTTGAGTAAGTTTGAGTTAGTATTTTTATCAAATACTTTCTATCAAATCATAAAAAGATGATCATTATCCTTTGACTACGTTTGAGTTAGTATTTTTATTTAACTAAACCCTTACTATTTAATTAAACTATTAATTATCTATTGATTTTTCTCGATTACCCTCACCTTCTCCTCCCCGTTGGTTTTCTCCTCCTCACTATGCTCTTGGCTTCCTCCTCCTAGAGTGTTATCTATTCTCTCTCTCTTTTGCTTTCTCGTATACCTTTGTCTCCTCTTCCCACTATGTTGCCTCCTCCCTCTCCCCTTGGCTTTCTCCTTCGCTTTCGCTTCCTCCCACTCCTCCACCCCCTCTCCTTTATCTACCTCCCTATTTCCTCCCTCCCCTCCTCTTCCTTCTTTATCTTATCATCTATATAATTTGCCTATAAAATCTGCTACACTCAAGTTGTACTTATTTATACAAATATTATTTTAATAATAAAACTAAAAAACTTAAGTTATCTTTAAAAATATATTAATTTTTATATAAAAATATTATTATACTCGAGTTAGACTCATCCATATAACATATTTAAACAAATTAGTTCTAGATAAGTTTATCCCAAGTTCATAAAAAAAATAAAATGCTTGAGTTATCTTTAAAAAATTTTAATTATTATATAAATTATTATAAATTGTCTAAACAAACTATTACACTTGAATTTCACTTGGGTTACGCTGATACACATACACATAATATATTAAAAGATATATTAATTTTTATATAAAATTATCACAAATTAATCATAAAACTAATCACAAAAGTATACATATCCTATTTCCTACTTCCTATTTTTAATATTGGCTTAGTTACATTAAAATAAGTTAAACTCGAATATCTAACCTATTTTTAAAATTAATATGTTTATTTGTAAATACTTATAGGATAATTAATTATCAAAACTTTAAGAATTCTATTAGAATATAATTTTTAATAAAAAATATTAATTTTTATTTTATGATAAATTTAGAATAAATTTATATTAAATTTAATATATTCTTAACAAGTTAGTGAATAAGTATAATTCGATTGTAAGCTGAGCATAACTTGAATGTAAGGATTCGATTCGACCGAATCCGAAGGGTTTCGAGTCGAAACGATTTAACCCGGAATAAATCGATTCACGAATCTACGATGCTCGAAATAGTTTGATTCTAAGATATTATCAAGATTTTTTAATATATATTTTTAATAAAAATAAAATATGATGATGTCATCTAATGCAAAATTATTATTATAATAAATTTTTTTCGATAAATTACCCCATCCCAGTCCGGCTATCATTAACCAACATGTATGTGCACTCTGCTACTTGTACTTTCTGTGGTGCACACACATGGAAAGAAAGCAGCGGCAATTACATCTCTCGAGCAAAAAGCACTTGAGAATCCACCTCTTTTTCTTCTCGTTGACTAACCTTTAAGATTGTGTGATATCATGTCATAATGAGGCCATGAAGTTACATCTCAGTGTCCATGAGAGTGGCGATGATGATGCGATTAGAATGATATGTTTTGATTGACTGGTTGCAAACACTGTTTCGTTGCGATAGATTTTAACCTCAAGATCGATCAGAACTTTCTGATCCTAAATCTTTTGTTGTAAGTCACCACCAAACAAAACATTCAAGGTGTAAAAACTGTATAGAATATAGATTGATATATTAGATGTAAATTCTATACAACAACATATTTTAAACCCTCAACTCGTAAGTGAGTTGGATAGATTAATATATTTTAAATATATAAATTTAACAATGAAGTTTTACATCTTTATTTAAGGTTATTATTATTGATAGGTGCACTGGGGTGCCTGAGATTGTCCGCTTTGGATGAGTGCGATCGAACCTATACGATTTTGTTCTTTTGGAGTCACAGAGCTCCAAAAAAATACCTCTAAGGGTAAGGGAAGCACGGTTGACTTATGAGCCCTTGGCTCCCCCACTCCTCAACCGATATGGGACTAAGTTGGCTCCCTATTAGGTGACCCCCTTTCGTTGGGAGCCAAGAGCTCAAGGGGGGTTTGGGCCGCTCGGACCCCACGATGGGCATCAATCTAATATGAGACTACTTGGTTTGTCTCGGTGCACCTTGGGGGTGCGAGGGATTGTCTACTTTAGGTGAGTATGATCGAACTCGTACGATTTTACCCTTTCGGAGCCACAAAACTCTAAAAGGTGACTCTGAGGGTAAAGGAGGTATGACTGTTTTATGAGTCCTTGGCTCCCCAACTCCTTAACCGATGTGAAACTAAGTTGACCCTATCAATTGTCAAGTCATATTGACAATACAACTTTACTTAGGTAGAGACGTGACTATAAAAAAATGTGAAACACTGAGTTATCGTCTCAACCGAATAAACAACATACGTCAACTCGTTCTTCATTGGATTAAATCGTAAACTCTTTCGAGTTTTGAGATAGAAGCCACTGTTCGAAGCATTCTAAGGTAAGCAAGCCAGTGTGGTGAAGGATGTAGTCGCACATCTGCATCATTTGGTGACAGTATTCTATCACAAACTAAGGGTGATGTAGGATGCCGACTTGACAGATTCCACCGTAGCTGAAATCTTCTTCTAACTATTTAATATTATAAAGAGTAAAATCGATCCTTACTTTCACTCTTCCTTCGTTGTTTATGAGTTCTCCATTCTCACTTGTCATTTTTCTTCCATTTCTCAGTCGTAATGAATTAAGGATGTGTTTCATATCTGCTCCAATAGTTGATCTAAATCTACCCTCGTTTTGCTGGATATATTCCTGCTCTAAATGTCAACTCCAATTTGATCTCGTGTACCCAATGTTTCTAATCCTCGAGACCACCTTTTTTTTATGTGCTTACATCTCCTTGATTCCTTGAACATGTGCATACAATAGTTAAGTTTTTAAAGATAATATATTGGAGGTATGTTTAAACAAAACCCTTTCCATAGTTAAGTTAATACTTATCCATTGATCACAAGCGAAAACAAAAAAAACTTTTATATTCATCTAATTATTGGTTTGAAATGAAGACACATCTTAAAATTTTACTTTTTAGTAATATTAGTTTTATAATTATTGGTTTGGTAAAAAATATATTCTTTTGAGATATCAAAACTTGATTTATAAAAAAAAAAAAATAATTTATATATCCGATCGAATGGCATCAAACAGCTACGATGGGTGGGTAGGACAAAAAACAAAAATCAGTAGACCTATCTATCACTACAAACTGTGATTTGAGATAATGGGTTACTAATAATAGAGAGACTAATAAGTTAACTATAAATAACTTCACCCTTTAAGCATTTTTAGTTTATAGTTAGCGACACTTTGTAGGCCGGTCGTCACCGTGAGCCGTTTAACGTTAATTATCCGATTCCGTTACGACCACCAAAGATAACGGCCGTAGCAGGGGAGGGAAAGGGGTAATTTCGTGAAATTGAGCGGGAGGCATTCATTGGTGGGAGCAGCGCACCGACGTGGCGGCATGGGGGGGTGGGTTGCTGCGGTGATCAGATAAAAAGAAACCACCCTCAACGAGGCGGAGACGCCGCGGCCAATCCCCATCCCTCCCCTCTTCCCAACAACAATATAATAATACTCTTCCAGTGATGGAGTGACGTTTTCCCAAAGCGCGCGCATGGTGCCGAGGTGGCTGTTTCGATAGAGAGCGGGACGAGGATGTGATCTCTGCCTCCGCCCGCCGAGACCCTCACTAGGCCGTCCCCGGAACCCTGGCCCATCACGACGGGATGCCTCCTCCGGATCCCGCCGCCATGGGCCCCGGGGAGGTCGCCTCCCGCTCGCCGCTTGACAAGCCCTTCGCTGACCTCACCGACGAGGACATCGCCCAGCTCACCCGCGAGGACTGCCGCCGCTTCCTCAAAGCCAAAGGTCTCTCTCTCTCTCTCTCTCTCTCTCTCTCCTGCTACTTTATCGGTAAGTGGTGACTTCGGAGTAGCCGAGGGCTAATGGGCAAGTGCAGGCATGCGGCGGCCGTCGTGGAACAAGTCGCAAGCGATTCAGCAGGTTATCTCCCTCAAGGCACTTTTCGAGGGGCGGCCGGGCTGCGACGACTCCCCCGCAGGCGGAGGGATCCTTCGGAAGCTTCCCCCTGTTACTTCGGCGCCGGTGTCTCCGCCGCAGGTAGTCACTTCCCTTTGGCGAGTGCTAACGTGGCGCCCTCGTTTTGATCTCTGTCTCTTGCTGTTGCTTCTTCCAGAACTCGCCACCTCCGGCGACGGAGGAAGGCAGCGGCGGGGGCGGCAGTGGAGCGCAACCTCCGGCGAAAGAGCCCTCGCCGTACCGGAGGAAGGATCCGTTTCCCCCGCCATTCTTTGCCGGAGACCTGACCTGCAGTACCCCGATCGCCGAACCAGACAGTCCTCACCCGCCGGAGAACCGATGCTTCTCCCCCAGGTTCGTCTGCTTGCGCGCCCCAAATGGTCCCCAAACCCCCTACCGCAACCCCCGGCCACGGTGCCGCTAACATGCGCCGGGTTCTTGATCCGACGGCCGTGGGGCGTTCGTCCCCGTACTAAGTGGGCCGGTTGCCCCATTTGCTTGCATGATGGAGGACGGAACCTCCCCTGCTCGCTCTTCTCGCATACGGATTTTCCTATGCGGTGACGAACCGGCGGCCTTGATCTCGACGGCCGCGTCATGTGCTTCGGCGACGCTTTCATGCTCTCCATTTACAGGACGACGGCGGACCTACCGGGAGAGCAGATGACGATCTTCTACGACGGGATGATCAACGTGTACGATGACGTCTCGGCCGATCAGGTGAGTCGACGATCGCGAGCTCCATACCGGCACCGGGGACCGTGACGGGCGTTGCACTGACACGGCGCCGCTTTGTTCGCAGGCGAGGGCGATCATGGAGCTCGCTGCCAGCCCGGCCTGCTTCGAAGACCCGACTGATCCGCTTCCTCCGGCCCGGCGGCCGGTCTTCCGCTTGCCCCCGGGCCCCGCTCCCCCTTTCTCCCGAGCCTTCCGAATCCGGGCGACAGGTGAGACCTCCCTGTCCTCCCCCCTTTCCTCGGTCAAGCAAAGCCGCCAGATCTTGATCGGACGGTTGCCTGTGGTGCAGGCAGGATGCCCCACCGTGTGGCGGGCGGGTTGGAGGGCCGGAGGGTGCCGCGGGAAACAGAGCATGGTAAGAGAGCGGAGCAATTTACCGGGTAAACATGCGACTTTTTTGTTTGCTGGTTCATACCATCACTGATTGAGGGACAAATCTTGACCCACGCTGGGACCCATGACTGCACGGCACCGGGAGTCGTTGCCTTTACCTGGGCCCCACCTGCAGTAGTGGGTTATGCAGTCAAAATTCAATGTTGTGCATGCGAAGTAGCGTACTGCAACGAAGATGGGTTTCATGGCGGTAATGGTGGGTGCTGTGGGTGGCACAGGGCAAGCCCGGGTGCCAATTATTAATCGTGTCGGCTTTACCTGTGTCAATGGACTGGAGGCGTCGGTTCACAAGTGTCGAGTGGTCCATTGATTGGTCTCGATGCCCATTGAGATCGGATTGCCCGCCATTGCTGTGATCGTATGGTCCCGGTGTTCTTCATGGGTCCCCTGATCCAACCCACGAGAATCTCCAGTGAAGAAAGTTGGTAGTTGTTTGCAAACACCCAACCAGGTTGGACAGGTTGTGTCACAGGCCTACCAGGCTTTGATATCAAAGAACCTTTAGTTTGAGTTGTGTGTCTGGAGTTTCCTCCATGCTATTTTTGCTGATTCAGTTGGATCAGACTGTGATTCAACTGAATCAAATGGCTGTCTTTGCTGTGCATCTCATTTTTTCATTCTTTGTAGATAGATGGAATCATGTTTTCTGTAAGTCATAGGAACATTCAGAATCTTTACATTCACTGTTTTTGTCACGTATAGCTACTGATGCGAATTTGAGTGTTCAGAATCTTCTAATCTAACCCTTGAAATTTTCTAACCCATTAGTTCACCTACCTAAAAGGTGATTTACGTGAACCCATATAAAACCGAGCTATGCGAACATTGTATATATCGGGTTCGTGAAGTAAATTTGTCTATCCTGTATGAGTAACTGAAACTTGAATGTGGAAGTTGGCCGTCAATGCATGATCTATGATCCCAGGTTTTTATTGGCTGTAAACACAATTAGGCTTCATGATTACTTGCTGAATCTTGCTCAGGTATTTAATTGTTTATTCTCACAGCCTTTACAAAATACTATGATATTGACTATGACCATAGATATGTAATCACGAAGGCAGTTCATAGTGGATTTGTTCATTTTAGCTTCATAATGGCAACCTAGTCAATCAATCTAAGTCTATCTATTTTTTCCATGGACTAATGCTGGTTTTCACTTGGCAGAAGTTCCAACAAGTAGAAAAGCATCATTGCAAAGGTACTTGGAGAAAAGGAAAGATAGGTATGACCTTTTGTCTTCAGAAATGATAAAACAGTGCCTATAAGCCATATTACAATCTTTGGTGAGAAATACATTCCATCATTGTTTTTTCTTCTATGAAGGTTTAAGGGCAAAAAGATCCTCGGAGGTTCAACTTCTTCCGATATGGAGATGATGTACATTAGCCAAAAGTTGAGATGCCTGAACCATAGTGAGCTCCCGAACCTGAATGAAACAAGCTTCCCTTCTCTGTCCCAGCCACCTCAATCACCAGCAAGGTGCAGCTCGGCAGAAAACCAAAGTGGAGACAAATATTTCATCGATCTCAATGATGACAGTGAGTGAAGCTCTTATTAGTTGTTCAATTATCACAATTCTCAATTTCACTTTTGGTATGAAATTATATCTTACATATTTCATAAGATGCATGTACTTATCCAACAACTGTTTAGCAAGTCTCATCTATTTCTGGGTCTCTCTTACCCCAAAGGTCAACAAACAGAAATTATGTTTTGCATATCTTTATTTCTTTTTCTGCTTGAAATATATTAAAACTTGCTTACATATTTTCATGTACTTTGTTTTTAATTTTCTTTACATCTATTGATTAGTGGTGCTAGGATAGACAGAGGAAGAATGAGGGAACTGGTTGGGGAGGCAAAAAGATCAGATAGATACCCTATAATTGATTGGTGTCATATACGGTTCATCGGACTTAATTCTTTGCCCTAAACAACTGGATAAGCCGAAAGAAGAGCTTGCATCGCACGTCATTACATTTTCCGATCAATCACATCTTAGTTATTTTCCTAGTACAGCATCTATGATGATGGTCCAGCTTGGAGTTAATTCTGTACACACAAATTTGGTTGGTGTTACTACTATTGGTTTAGTGTTGCATGATTGCGACTCTGATATATTTGTATCTCAATTTCTTAACAGGCGGCGGAATTTAAGATTGTTGGATGACCACCAAACGGGTCCCAGGAGCTGAGAGACCCTGGTTCTGTGGCGTCCTGCCCTGGGTTTTGATATATCCAAGAATCTTGGCTTGTATACTTTTGCAATGGCAGCCGCTTGGAAATTAATAATGTTTCAAGATGCCAACCCCATGGATGAGATTGAAGACTGAACAGAAGCTGTGATTTGCCCTGGTCCTCATTCGTACATCAAGCAATTTGCATGTGTAAGATCAGCCTTCCAGTTTCTTATGGCAGTGCAGCCCATCAGAGGACAGTCAAAATCCAGATCATTATTCTCTTCGTGATCACAGCCGCCAGGTGAAGGTAATGACAGTCCGATGATCCTATTTGACCGGAAAGAACAGATCATGTATCCTTTTGTTGGAAGTTCATGTACTAAAAAGACTAACACAAACTCTTGCGGTACTTGCTACAAGTCCACTGGAGGTTGCGGCTACCTTCGAGTCACGAAGGCTTTGCTCTCGAGGGATGCTTGGGTATGTATTGGATACCTTCAATCCAAACAGCTATTTCGCAAGACTGGTCGTATGCTGAGATTCTTTTTATCCTTTTATGATTCCTTAGACATTCTTTTTCACGTCACTTCAATTTCACAGGAAACATCAATCGAATGTGATGATTGATGCAGTACAAGTCCTCCTTCACCCACTCGATATATATATCGCCTTCAGTTTCTCAAGGAAGCAAGCTCGAGCGCGCAGTGAAAGAGGGGATTACTGCTATCAGTAGAAACTCACCAATCTGTAAATGAGGCATCACAGAACTTAAAAAAGGCAAATTCCAATTAAAACAGTTCAATCACATCTAGTTCTTTTGTTTTGTGCCCATGGCAACTTGCAACCTGAGCATTGTAGCATTATCACCTTCATAAAGAGGGAACTCCGAACTACAAGCTTTTGAGCAGTTAGTTTAGTATTTTCTCTTCTTTGGGAAAACACAAAAGAAAAAAAGGTGGGGGAAACAACTATAAAAAAGAATCAAGAAAATAAATGAAACGTCTTCAGGGATGCCGATCGAATCACACCCCCCGAGTCCAACAAAGACTCCGCGAGGGCACGAAACTAACGTGTTCCCTCTGTTGCATCGTTCTACGTGGCACGATCCAATATGGTTAATCGTCATCGTGGATATTTTAACGGACAGAAAATCGAGCGTCTCTGTAGTTAATCCATGACCGACGGAACGTATGCGTCCCGGCTTCATCTATATAAACCCTTGTGCAGTCCCCAGCACGCGAGGAAGAAACAGCGAAGCGCAGAGCGTTTCGAGTGATCCTACTTTCTTAACTAATCTTTCCGTTTCTGATTCTTGTTTTGTTCTTCTTCTTTTTGGTTTCTAGGAGTATTCCGACTCTGCAAGAGGTGCGCAGTCTCAATCACGATTCCGATATGTTCAGAGAGGATCTCAGTTTCTTTATTCTTATTTTTCGAATTGTTTATAGGTTTTTGAAGTCTGAGACATGTTAGGGGAGAAACATCCAATGTTCGCATGGAATTTTCTTGTCAGTATTTGGTGTTAGGTTTCTTTCTAGTTGATGCCACTTTCTGTGCAGAAACTGGCCGATCGGCCAACTTTTCTGTTCCCTGATTTTTTATGATCCTAAGTTGAGTAGATCTGCCAAAGGTTTTGGGCCGTTCGCCTATTTTCCTGTTGGTCCACATTGCTTGCTCGTTACTTTTAGCGATTGGATCGGTTATCTTTCCATCCATGAGTCTTCCTGACAGTTTCTTGATGTAGATCAAATATTTTATGCTCGTAGAAATTGTTGATGTGCAGCATATACCAACTAAGTGCTTTAACAATTTGGATTATAGAGTTTGTGCATTCTCTCGCATGAATTAGTTAAAACATAGAAATTTGTTCTCTATAATGAAAATATATCAATGTAGCTGACTCCAAATAGTTGGGATATTATGGTTGACTTGTTATTTTTGTATGGGCGTGTATGTATATGTGTACGTGTGTATATACACACCGAAAAATGAACAAAGGAAAGAAGGGAAATAAAATATGGGAGCAATGCGAGAAAGCAAACTCAACAAGCTACTATTCCCAAAAAAATATATTATAATTTAAGAGATAGATAACTACAGTTGAATAGAGTCGAGTGAAATTTTAATTGCTATACTTCATAGGTGGATATGCTTGCGTCCTCAATTTTTGAACAGTTTTCTTTGGATGGAAATATCAGGGATAACTCTTGTTTTTCCTTTAGATCAATCATTTTGAATAATCCATTCTCCTTTTCTGTTAACAATGAATTTTCTCTGATCTATGTTTGTAGTGGTTGCACTTACCACTTTCTGGAATCCAATCACAAAATGAATTCTTAGTAGTTAATAACCAATTTCTCTTCTCCATTTGTTATAGGGTCACAAGGAAGAAGTTCTCCAAGCATGGTGTATGGATGACAGTGAGGAAGACCAGAGGCAAACTTGCAGGTTGTGTGATTTGATGGCAGTGGTCCAAGGCACAATCACAGTAATGTGTTCACTCTATAAGTGCTTGCAAGGTCGGGAAACAACAGATTATGCTTGTTTCATTTTGGACAGCTTGGAAGATGATTGATTGAAAGAATGGGATCTTTCTTGGAGTCCTATAGCTTTCACACATAGATGCAAAGTGCTGTTGTCCATAGAATTCAGGTGAGTCTCCAAGGAAACACATTACTATTTAGCTTTGTTTGCCTAAGAATTAATTCTCGTTATTCTGCTGTGTATCCCATGAGGCTGCAGCCCATATTGTTGGTTCATGGTATAGTTCTTTTGTCTCTGCTGTCAAATTTCATATATGTTGAAGGTAAATCCATTTAAAATCTCTCATAGTGATGCAGAAATTGAGGCTCTGTTTAACAGGCAGGCTATGGAGAGAAGAGAAGGGATTGTAAAAAGATGAGAAGATGGAGGGAGAAGCTAAGAGGACAAAAAGGTAATCGCATTTGCTTTGCCATGTTATTGAACCCCCTGCCTGTTCATTTATAATCTTAAGCTTAAAAATAGAGCAGGATAAATTCATTGGTTTCCTTTCCAAGCAGGCTGCAGTGATGGCTCATTCAGTGAATGTGTCTTGAAGAAATAAAATCATTCATTGCCTCTCAGGACCAACGGATTTATGCAAACACACCATCATTCTGAAAGTTTATTCAGTTTTTGACAGGACTGGTAGGAACAAGTGTGATCAGCTGAGAAAGTCTTATCTGCTAGAGAACTTGAGTGCTTTCTTCACTGACATTTCCTCAGCTGATTTATTCAAGTGGGGTGGCAGGAAGTGGTGTATTAGCAAACTTCCATGAGCAACTGGTGAAGAGCTCGATGTCCCTCTCCCCACCAATCTCATCCACCGGCATCGCATCAGAAACCTCTTTCAACTCCTCTTCACTTAGCTTCACATCAAGGGAGGCGATATTGGCATCCAGGTGCTTAACCTTTGTCGTACCTACAACAAGATGGAAAAAGAAAGGTTGGATGCTAGCATCAGTTGTTGATGATGATGGTGTGCATTGCAGCATTCACAGAAAGTGGACGACATACCTGGAATAGGCACCACGTCTTCTCCTTGGTGGAGAACCCAAGCCAGAGCTAGCTGGGGGGGAGTGCACCCGTGCTTCTCAGCCAGTTTGGTGACTCGCACGAACAGTTTCTTATTCTTGTCAGCATTCTCCCCATTGAACCTGGGATTGAGGGCCTGTTCGTAGGCAAAAGGATCAGCTCAAAAGGCGAGGCTTTGTAGCTGAAAGAAGAGAATAAAATTACTGGGATGGGCTTCGAAGACTAGTACAATACCACTATGCTCCCTTCAGGTAATCCTTCTGTGCCTGCTCTTCCAGCAAAGAAACCGTGTCCAAGAGGGCTATATGCAATTACTCCAATACCAAGCTCTCTGCATGGGAAATGGGTAGCTTATGCATCATAAAAAATATTTTAGAGCCTTGAAGTTGTGTGTTCGTATGAATGAAGCAAAATATGCTTTAGAAGCTTTAAATATCGGCTACAAAAATAATAGAGAGAGAAGATGAAGGTCTGGCACACAGTAGCAATTATATATCAGTAAGTAGGTCGCTGACATAGTAGCAATTTAATGCTATTTATTTCTGTCATGTGTTTAGCAGATTGCAAACTCTTTCTAGCGAAACGCATAAATTGGTGTAGTTCGTGTATCCAAAGCAGTTAGAGTTCGACAGAAGAAACCGGCAAAGGGGAATTATCTCATCCTCGATATCACGAGTCCACAGCGACCACTCCATCTGCACAGCAGAGATGGGATGCACAGCATGCGCACGCCTTATCGTGTCGGGACTTGCTTCGCACAGGCCGATGTACTTGATCTTCCCTTCCTCCACTAATTTCTTCAGTTCATGCATCTGCCTCGGCGAACAAGGTAATCAATCAGCTTGATGATGACTAAGAAGAGTTTACGAGGTAAAGATGAAGTCAGCAGTTAATACTCACAGTATGCTCTATCGGCACTGTTGTGTCCACTCGGTGAGGAAAGTACAGATCGATGTAATCAACACCGAGGCGTTGGAGACTGCCTTCACAGCATTTGCGAGCATATTCCGGCAAGCCATTGATCAGCAGCCGGCCGTCCTCGAAACCAGCAATGCCGAACTTGCTTGCTATCTGCACTTTTTCTCTTGGCAGATGCTTCAGAGCCTTCAGTTTTCGGACAGAGAGTTAAGAGTTTACAATAACTCCTCTTAGTTACAGTATTTGCTAAACTATTTGTGTTTATGATACCTTAACAATCACAGTTTTTTTTTGTTTTTTTTCATGCAGATTAGCCATATAACTTGCAAAATCGTAGCAGCAGTTCAATAATGTATGCATGCTAAACTCGTCTCATGGCATGATCAAGCACTTGAGATGGGAGACAGACCTGCCCAATAAGGTTTTCATTGTGTCCGTTGCCATAGGCATCAGAAGTGTCGAAGAACGTCACCCCGTTATGGAAGGCATCAATGACGATGGCAGCACCTTCTTCGTAGGACAGAGGATCGTTGAATATCCCCGAGAGACCCGAGCAACCAAAACCCAACTTTGAAACCTGTTAAAAAGACGGAACAACACGGAGCATTACTACAAGTCTACAAGACTGCTTGAAGGTTGAAACATGTGAGAATCCTTCATTGTGAGGCACTTAGAAGGGATGTTTTTAGAAACTTGATGCTGCAAATGTTGGAGTTCAATGAAATACAAGCAAGCTTTACAGGGAGCTCCCAGCAGCATATCAAGTACAGAGGACACGAGGGGGTTCCAAAGCAGGGATGTGAAGCCCCTCTTCCACATCCTGTTTTCGTCGACAGTAAGTTCCTCCTGACATCCATGTTCTAAGAAGTTTCATGCAAGCATGGAAACTTGGCACAAAGCGAATGAAGGGATCCAAGTGCCTTTGGGCCTACCTTAACAAAAAGGTGTAAGACATGAAAGTTTTCACATGTCGATAGGACACAAGAGTACAAACTAACTGAAGGGTGCTATGCTTCTTCAGCCCTTCAGGGCCGAAGCACAACTGGAGTCTGAGGCTTCATGTGTTGGAGAAACAACACAATGGTGCATACCAACCCGATGATGTTTCTTCTCAAGGCCTACCTCCAGTCCTTGTGTCCCAAGCTTCACTTTTGGGACTCGAGTCCGCTGTTGTGCCTTCTGCTCCATGCTGTCCCGTCCTCGAGGCTGCCGCTTGCTGTAACTGACGCCGTCAAGATTTCTGAGCTCTACAGAAAGTAAATGATCCATCCATGTCGGGCGTTGCTACTTATAACCAGAAAGCAATGGAGTTCCTGCATCCACTTTGCTAAAAGTGAGTTTCGGTTTGAAAGGTTGTTGTGGTGGTAGCTGAAATGTGTTTCATTCTCTCACCTACTGCTCTCCCTGAACCATTCATCTTCCTTGCAGCACTCATAGTTACTGAGAACATTTTAGAGAGAGAGAGAGAGAGAGAGAGAGGGTGATGGGCCAGTGCATAGTTTATATTCGGTAGATCACGTTGTGTGCAAACTGGTTGGTTTAGCTACTCGCAAGCTCTTCTTGGCCTTTAGCCTGAGCTCAGGAATATTTCATGTGGACAACAGTAACTAAATTCCGAGGTGGCGACCACTTCAAGAGTTCTGCGTAATTGGTCAAACCTACGAGGATTTTGTCCTCGTTTTGGTTGATGTGTTACGGACGATGGCGAATATGAGACGATTCCTGCTTCCATCACCGGTTAGGCAGCACTGATAACAACACTTTTTCTTTTTCCCTTTAACGGGTTAAACATTTTGATAATATGTTTATATATATTTTTTCCTTATATGTATATATCGTTGTTTTCATTTGATGATATAAAAGATGTCTTCCACGAACGGTTTTTTTAAATATATTGTTACTCTCTATCCACGCTACTTAAATCAATAATCAATAATTGAGATTCGATTTATTAATTTTTTTTATAATAAATAGTTATATATATATAACTATATAACTATACATATATATATGTATATATATATATATGTATATATATATATATGTATATATATATATATGTATATATATATATGTATGTATATATGTATATATATATATATGTATATATATATATATATATATGTATATATATATATATATATGTGTGTGTGTGTGTATATATGTATATACATATATATATATATATATATCTGTGTGTGTGCGTGATTTAAGCTTTGACTGGAATCGTGTCCGAACGGATTCACTTAATTACGAGAGCCAAAAGAATGTAAAGAAGTGGTCACAAGTGACTGTACCCCGCACCCTGCGCACCCGCCCCCCCCACCCACCCCCCACACCAAACCCCGCCCCCGCTGCCTTACAAATGAGGTGCTTGTTTCATTATATATGTGGTGAAGGCGATCACACTATTTTTTAGCTTTGGATTGGTCTTATGAGCTCTCTCATTTGTCCAACTTGGTGGCAGGATTTGGTGGAAATGTGACGATAACACCAGCATCATCAGTGCACAGAATTGCTTAGTATAATTCTATGTGACTGAATTGCCTCAACTTTTATTACGTAACAAATGTTGAATTATTTACGGTCCAATTGTGATGACTCTTGCATAGGTTAAAAAATAAATTTGAAAAAAATCTCGGATCAAAATATATTTTTTATTAATATTTAGTTTGTAAAAAACCATTAGGACTAAAGATCATGAGATTTATATTATGTATTATAACTTTTTTGTGCTTAAATTAAATGATATCATGCGATATCAAAATCATGATTTAGGAGGACATAATTTTTCATTGGTGAATTTTGATTCTCTTATCATCGATTAAAGAATTATGATTATATTGTTTCACGATGACTTCAGTTGCAAAATAATCATTTAAGTCCTACCATTGAATATGACCTTTTAAGTCGTCCCAATATGTCTATGATTCACAATTATTTATTTATTTATTTTAATGTCACGAAACCATAATATATCGATTAAGATGTTTAAATATCAACAAATTAAATCTTGATTCGGACGTGCCAAATAATACATATTTATGATTATGAATGCATCCAAATTCGATGGTCCGATTTGGGCATGCCACGTAAAATATCACTTAGCTATCATTTTGTTTAGGATGGTCGCTTCAGTAAGCGACTACAGTCTTCGTCATCGATGCATTCCGAGTGCATCCTTCGTTTTAAATGCATACATAAACTAATGAAATCATTGGAGGTGACTCATTTATCGATTCATTTCTATCGATCTGGCCAAGCCTCAGCATCCCGTCATTGGTTGATTCGTACCACCCATTAAATAGAATATTCAGCTAAAAACATTATATAAAGTCATATAAAAAACATAGGAATATCTTTAATATCAATGATGATGATCAGTTTGGTCATAACAATAAAAGAATTTTATCAAATATAAGTAGAATAAAAAGAGAGATTTCCAGGCATCCATCCTATTCACAAATATTTTTCTTTTTACAGCCAGCCAATCAACCAGTTTGCAATTCCATGACTACGGAAGTTTGTCCATATAAATCTTTAAACCCTGAGCAACCTCTTTTCTCGAGTCTTGTTTTCCTGCATTCTAAAACACACTGTATCAACTTAGCATTGAACTGATCAATCGTGTAGCCAACATCTTCAAACCCCTTTTTGGAGAGAGAAACCGACTAAAACATGTTTCTGCTTACTTGGAGGAGACTGAAAATGCTCGGTCCAGTACATGAAGATATGACTTGAAAAATAGATGGAGGAAAAGGAGGCAGAAGCAGCAAAACCCAGAGCTGAGTCCAAAGCAGATATGATGTCAAACTGGAATGTGCCCAGATGAATGAAAAAGCTACTTCCAGCCTGGTATATGATACCAAACTAGATCCAGAGAATGTGTACTCACTCATATGATCCATCATCAGGAATCGCAAACCTACAATTTACCATATCTAAATACAAGACTATCATCAGACTAATCACAGCATGGAAAATGGGTGAGAACTGCTACTGTGAATAACTGAGAACTGATACAGGATCTGCACATAGGGGGTTCAATTGCATAAACTTTCTGTACATTGACACCATCCAATAGAATGTGAAATTTACATGTATTATTTGGAAGCTCTATGTCCCAGACAGAAACTTATACAGGAAACCTTCCAATCAATGTCACATCTGATTTAATACCTACGAAAGATTTTGAAATTGAATGAACTATCATTAAGAAAATTTCACTGGGAATTGAGTTGACATGTCACCGAGAAGATTACCATCATGGAGTATCGGTGAAACTCGGGTAACAAAACAAACAACACCTAAGTCAAACTCGTGGCCACTGAGGACTGACTACCTGCAGAAACCAAAATGATGTCATCAGAAAATTTAAATCACAATTTTCCAGATCCTCAAGTAATCAAAGCCAGACAAGCGATGAAGGAAATTTGTTGTTTTGATTACATGTTTTTCTAACACAAACAGATGCATAGTATTCACAACGCTATAATGTGCATTAGAGTGGCAATGATAAAACACTAATCTGGTACAGAAGTTGAAGAGCACCCACAGACCTCTAGCGTGCTGAAAACTAATCTCATCCGACTTGCTACAACAGATGGTTCCTCAGAACTGCCCATTACCGCCATTTGTTCTAGCTGCAAAGTCTTCACTGGTAACCTGTGCTAGCATATAAAAATAAAAACGTAAAACACAGATCAACACAACTCAATTTACATACTTTCAGGTGACGTTAAAGACACAAAATTCATTAAATGACATAAAGCATTAACAAGAATGATCCCATTCTATAGGCATTTTATCAAACATAATAGTGTCAGGATGATTATATGAAAACTAATTATTTAGTATTAGCATATACGTGTGTTCATACGACATTCAAGGATAATATTGAGAAAAAGCTTTATGTCGTCTATTTTGTAATTGACCAAAAGAAAACTAATTAACATTGAAACCCTCTGGTAATGCAATGTTAGTACAATGATGAGTGTATCAGCCACAATGATGAACTGTATCTTTAAAAAAGCCTCTTTTTTATTTGATTATTATGTTGACAGTATGTCATAGAAGAAGATGAAGAAAAAAAAAAGAATAGATCTTGTCAAATACTCACCATGCCATTCCCCTTGTATAATAAGCATTTGCAATGATAGCACAAAATCCTTTCCATTGATGCATGGTTTCAGCTGACACTGGCGGCGTAGATGACCACCTGACAACTGTGGGTTGTGGTGTGCACAGGATCGTGATAAATACAATACTCAACCATAAAATGCACTCATTGACCTATATCAAACAATTAACGTGAAAATTAAAATTCTTAAAATTTTGTCACACACTATAAATAGCTAATAAAAAAGAATGAAGCCAGCTTATTTTTAGGCCATCACCTACTATAATGATGATGACAACAACATTGATAAGCTATTGATCTCTACCGAGAGAGTCACACTAGTCAAACTAAGGGCAATCAAAGTCCTTGAAATTGTATTTATGAAAGACTGCTTGGTCTTCCTTTGTCTCTCCTCGGACTATTAATCTGAATAACTCTCCTTGCCAAAGTACAGTTACAGGTTCCCTTCAGAAACGTCCAAGACATCTTCAAAATTTTCATCATTTTGTTTTTACTTGTCATTTCCTTTAGTTTTTCATGTATGCAAACATTCCTTAATCTGTCTTTTAAAAAAACTCATAATTCATCTCACCATCCTCATTTCAGCAAAAATGAATTTGTTTAGATAAAATATTCCCTAAACATCTTAGGCCATAAAGCGTACTGACTTATACCAGTATTATGAATTTTTCTTTAGATCTAACAGCCATACAACAGTCAGAATGCCCTTCTTTAGATCCTATTCGCAAGCTCATCCAGGGTGTCTAAAACTTCTGCATTTTGGACCTTCTCATCTATCAATTCTACTTACATATTATATATTTGGTCTACTTAATTCAAAATATCTAATTTTAAACTTGTCTCCATGATTCAGGTTTAAAACTTAAACTAACTTCGCTAGCATCACTCACAACAATATCATGTTAATCCAATACACCATGAAAATTCATACTTCATCTGCCGAGTAAATTCATCTATTACAAAATATGTCAGTCCTTGAGAAATCATAATTGCCTCTCTGGACTCTCTTCTTGTCCTAAACTAGTGGCTATGCTTATTCAGATGTCTTATAAGGTATAACTATTAGAAGCCTGTTATTTTCCTAAATTACAGCATTTTTTTAGAAATTTTATTGTAAGTGTTTCATGAGTCAATAAAAACCAATATGCAGGCCTTTTTTCTCCTCTTTAAATTCTTCATTAATAGGTCAATAAGGAAATAATTTGTACGAATTATCTTTATAGTATAAATACTAAACTAATTTCCAAAGATGCTTGCTTTTTATTGTAATCTCGATTCAATTGCCCTCTCCTAAAGTTTCATGATAATTCATTAGTTAAACTATCTGATGGTTTGAACTTTTTATTCGTTAGTACTAAGAATTGAGCTAACCTTCGGTACTTATTTGATTTTCATATTTTGGTGCAACCTAATCTCTGCAACTCTTCCAAGCCTCAATAAAGATGTCATCGTGCCCTATAAACTTCACATTGTTTTGTAACATTTCTTTAAATTTCCCCCAATCATATTATTATATTCTATCTCCATAACCAATAATCTTTAAGCAGTTCACTAAAAAAATTAGAAAAATAACTATATCATGTTAAAGCACTAATTTAATTTACAAATTGTATGGTTCAAAATTCAAATATTACCTAAACCACTAATCCATATTTCTCTAATTTTGTAAACTTATATATGCCTTTTTCTGAGTATTTTGTCCATATCTCACAGTAAAGAACATCTGGCTGCTTCAATTGTATACACTTTTTGGTTAATGTGGAAGGCCCAGAATGAAATTATATTCCAATCCAAGAAAGGCACCCCTTTGGGGATCTTTCTCAAAGCTCTTGCTTTCTTTGCTATACTTGGAGAGATGTCTGAGGGGATGAATAACTCGATCAATCAGATCCTGGTTAGACGGAGTCCCCCCCCCCCTCTCCTGGCTGGTACAAGCTCAACTTGGATGGCTCCTTGTCTAAGCAATCGAGGAGGGGGGGGGGCACGGGGGAATTGGCTTTCTACTTAGAACTGATTATGGGCAATGTATTGTTGCAGTTGGGAGGCTTTGTATGAGGAAAGACAGCCTTTATTCTGAGTTAAATGCTATATCGGAAGGGCTAAGGAGTGCTGCTCGAGAGGGGGTGCAGAAATTATAAATAGAAATGGATGCTGAGGTTGCTATCCAAATTTTGAAAAAGGAATTTGTCTCACCATGGATTATTGCCAACCTTGTGCAAGATATTTTTTACCATATGAACACATTTACAGATGTAATGGTATCTCATGTATTTACAGATATTTTTTAACCTTCTCCAATTTTTTGTGTGCTGATCTCCAGGGCACAGACTATAGCCATTACTTATCTTAATACTATCAGTTTCTTTTTTCGAAAGAAAAAACATGACTAGTCAATGACTTTCACGTTGCGTTTTCAATTTCTATAGTCATCTCCATTCTATTTCTGAATTGCATCATATTTCAACTCTCTAAACAACCAATTAAATCTAGTATAACTGTTTCCATGTTTTTAACTTTCATTATCTAAAACATATATCCACCATTTTGTCAATGTAGTGAAGTTTCTTTTATTTCTTCTTTTGTTTAGGACATTACCTAATATGCGAACTATATAATGATATATACGACACATACTTTAGCTCAGTTCTAGCATATCAAGTGCACGTATTTACTACTTGGGAGGTCCATAGAAGCAAATATATAACAACTAATATTCCAGTGAAACAAACTATACTTTGCTAGTGTTTACCAAGGCAAATAAACATGTTGTCTTACTGGTGTCAAATAGCTTAAAGTGAAAATACCAAGATAGTTCAACAATTAGAGATAACAAATATATTTGGCAGGATATTGACAGAAGGATGGTTAGATACATAAAACGACTTCAAAGATGAAGAAAATGCAACAAGTAATATATTTGTGCACGAGATCTCGCCTCCTCGGTGAGAATTTCAAACTTCAAAGTGGTTCCTCCACTATGACTTTGAAGTCCTTCAATCTCAGCACCAGAATCCTTCATTCTAATAAGTTCTTTTCTTAGACCCTCATCAGTACAACCAAGAGCATATGCATTCACCCCAGCACTGATAAACTCCTGATAAGATTCCAATGAATGTATCAGTTGGAAAAATGGAAATATCCATTAAGAAAAATATTTCACAAATGGTATGCAATGCTTGGGGGGAGAGAAAATACTTTAAGGTTGTCTCCTCCTCCACGATCAATTACAATTCTGTACCGTTTCAACAGGCTTATGGCTATATTGCGTGATGAACGATAATCGTGATCAGATGATGCATTACTATCCCAATGACACTACAAAGAACTAGAAACATGTAAGTACAAAAGAACATTTAAGTCCTTCAGAAATGCCATTTCGGTTGCACAATGGCATTCTAGAGAAGAACAGAACATATATTCACTAAAGGATATAATACCAGCCAGTTTTTTCTGGTTCCATCTTTTGAGGTTCTCCAGAGGTGATGGTTTCTCAGTCTGCTATAGTGAGACTTTAAGTTAGGAGACATCCAAAGATTTTGTATACATGGTCTCTCCAAACAATGCCGGAAGGCTAGAAAGCCTTTCATGTTATAAGCATGCCGACTGCTGTCTGAACATGCTGGCACATATGTCTTTCTTTCTCCATCAATCCAAAAATTTTGAATGGCTCCCGCATGATGTACTGTCAGCATTGCTTCATAGGCAGAAGGAGATTTGTCTTTTCAAGATCCAAACCAGAATATATAAATATATAATTTCCTGATAAGAAAAGACTGTTTCACTAGCACATAGCTCCTCTCATCTACAAGCAAAAAAAATGGTATAGACCATGACTCATGCAATGAGTACTTACAGGCTCTACATTTGATAATGTTAAGTTATTCGATAAATTGCACATTATACAAAAAAGGATAAACATAAAGAATCTTTTTGTGACACTATTAACTCGAGGAATATTCATGCAATCTCTACAGTTAATGGAGATTCGCCCAACAGTGACGAAGAATAGATGGATGCAGAAACATAAGTGTCAGCCAAGTGGGATGCCCTTGTCTAATACAATGCCATTGTACAGCTTAAGTAACTTTATGTATATTCAGAATCAAAACATGTGAAGAACCAAGGATTACCATTACTCAGCAGTGAACAAACACATTCCTTACTTATGTCTAACGACCGAGACACAAGAATCGAGTAAATAATAGTCAATTAAAGTTTGCTTATGCTCGTAATGGTAGCTTCAGGCAACAAAGAATTTCACAACAATTTCAACTACTTCTAATCTCTATTTAATAGAACAAGTCCAAATCAAGTCACAGCAGTGACATCCAATGAGTAATCTCCCATGACAGATTCCGTGTATACAAATTCTTTTTTTTTAAAATAGTAATCAAAATCTGAAGTGAACAATATGAAAAGTTGTATTATTCGAATCGTAAATTACAATCCTAACTCCAAACAGCATTTGCTCGAAGTACAGTCCAACGAAAAAACTAGAAGAATGGACTGTATCAACAGTTACAATCACATTTGTTATGCCAACAATATGCACGCAAAAGTGATTCAAAAAAATAGAATAACGTCATTATTTTGACAAGGTTGAATCATCGATGGCAAAATTTAGCACAGGATTTAAATAAAAGACCAGTTAACTCACAAAATTATCCAATAACCAAGCAATAAATGATCAACTAGGACAAACTACCTCTATCGTACGCTAGAGCAATGGCTTCGCAAAGAGGCCAGAGAAGGAGGAGGAGAAGGAAAGAAGGGTCTCCTCTTGTCTCTCCGCGGCCACAAGATACGAGTGGCGAAGGGAGAGGAGATCGCAAGTAGAGGCGGAGAGGAAGGGAGGGGCCGCCCTCGCTCGGGCTTTCGCTCTCATAGAATCTGATCGAAGAAGGTCGTAAGAACCCCTGCGTTGGCCATTGAATTTGGGCCTCCGTTACAGCAGGTGGTGAACGGAAACGTACTGGACCGCACTGGCCCAGATTAGTCTCCTTGGTGATGGACTGCTTCATTAAATATTTTTCTCAAAAATATAAATTCACATATATATATATATATATATATATATATATATATATATATTAGAAAGATAGATTATGGACTGTGCTGCTTCATTTTTTATCCTATTTGTCTTGTCTTCCCATGGTGTTAAAATACATCAAGTTTGATATCAATTCATCTTAAAAATTTAAATTTTTAGGTCATGGATCATATTATATATGTATATATACATATATATATATATATATATATATATATATATATATATATATATAATCCAACTCTTTTAATCCTAATATTATAAGAGTATTCACTTAATATATCTTACAACGTGCCTCCAAATGGATGACAAAAATCAATCTACAGATGCTCAATATTACCCCCGGGTCCCGCATTTGGGCCTTGGTTGTGTTCACTTCCAGCCGGGAGGCTTCTTTTATCGCATGGACCGTATAGGTGACAACCAATGCATATAAAATTAAATTGTAAAGGACGATGATAAAAATGATCTGGGACTGTTCATTTTGTAGATTGTACGTGTTGGTCATGCAATATTTTTTGTCAACTTATGTCATGCAAGTTCATCAATATAATAGTTGGGGAAGTACATCAAGACCAGAGGAATCAATCACGAAGAATACCACAAGGATCAGTCCCAGCTTCTTTGGATGGTTAATGATGCTATGAAATGGATTCGATTGAGAAATCAGAAGCTATGATGAGCAACGTAGTCTAGGCCTCAACCATACATATACATGCTAATCTTTTCGTAGAAAGATGTACCAACAGACTTTATAAAAGATAGTAACTACAATGGAAACTTTTCGCCTATTGCCTCACTATAGAGCATTGATATGTCAAAACGCTACAAGAGAGTAAAATGCTATTTCTTTGTGTAACCTGTAAGATTAGGAAAGAAACATAGTTTTGAGTGTCATCAATCCTTCACGTCTGTGATGCCTCCTGGGGTTATCTGGAAAACGTGATCCCCTTGGTCAAGGTTCAACTATAACCAGTTCCATTTTTTCTTCGATAGCAAGCTAAAAAAATTAATTATCTGCTGTCTTTTCTTTTTGATCTAATCGCTAATATAGGACTACCTATGATTTCTACCAGAATAAAAATGACAAAAATAATATGATTATATATATATATATATATATATATATATATATATATATATATATATATATATATATATATATGGCTGGAATTCAAGGATATGGCTTCGGCTTCGGGAAGGTTGGGAGCGTCATAGATCTTGCAGACGCGCTGCTCGCCTTTGCCTTTCCTCAACATCAGCCTGATGGTAGCTGAGTGGGCCAGCACGTGCCCTCCCGCTGGCTTCTTAGGATCCGATATGAACATCCCTCCTCCAGGATCCGCAATCACTACCGCACAGAAAAATACACTTCACAAAACTATAATTTCACACAAGTTCAGTTTATATGATGCGAGATGAGATATAAAAAAGGCGACTAAAGCATATGCTATTATTAACAAGTGCGAGCTTCCTCGGACCGACCATTGGTCCATCATGAGGTCGAGGTCCATAAATTTACCTTGGTTCGTTATGTAAACCGCGACGTTGAACTCCTCGGCGATCTTAATGAGGCGAGAGAGCATCTGCGCCAATTTTTGCTGAAGGTGCAGATTTTAGTGCAATGCAACATTACGGAGAAAAATTGCGACTAAGACAGAGACATACCTGGCGCTCCGCGAGCTCGCCGCGCCCGCTGAAGTCGACGCGGAACAGCGCGATCACAGAATCGACGATCTGCATGCAATCACGCTAAAAATATGGAATTGTGATCTAAACACAGCATAATTAAGAGCCAGAAAGAGAAAGGACGGACCAGGAGCCTGAAAGGCTCTTCGGACATTTTTGCGGCCAAGCCCAAGAGCAAGTTGTACTGATGCTCGTAAGTATAGGCACGCGCGTATATAATCTTCTCTTCCGCAGACACACAACGTTTATAACAAGAACAAATAAAGATTAATTATCTTTTACTTATCATCAAGGTTTTCAAAATAATTTTGAGGATAAAAAGTAAAGGTACATAGCCTTACATTGTCGAGAACGGCACCCGCATCCATTCCAAACCTCTCCGCGATGGGAACGATCCGATCTGGACGGCTTGAAATCCATTAAGGCTAAATTTATATATATATATATATATATATATATATATATATATATATATATATATATATAATTCATCACAAAATTATTATCCTACAAGATAAGGATACAATGTCCCCTCGGTATCAATGTAGGCGACCTTCCCGTTTCCGCCGTGCATTTGGATGGGTAGCTGTGGAATACAAACACGAGTGGGTTCATAGATCTTATTATCTCAATCATTATAAATAATTGCTTTTCGCGCACCTGTGTGGAGACGCAGAGGGTATGAGCCAACTGAGTTTTCCCCGATCTGTTGGATCGTCGATAAACGATCACAATTCCAGTCTAATATAATTACGTTTAAAAAATAATTAATTAGACTGAGAATTTTCTGACCGGAATTCTCCAAATGCCTCTGTTATTGAAAGCGTCTCGATCCCACCTATTTGATTTCGAATGGATTATGTGTTTAGATTAACATTCGGAAGGTCTATGATTGTACAGTAACCGTTCGATATTGATCAAATGGCTCTGTTTTTTTTTTGAAAAGGATTTTGTTTTTGAATCTTACCGCCAAGTAGTTCATCCAAAGCTTGGCTCCCCGTCGAAATTCGAACCACCGCCTTCCTCTGGTAAAAAGAGAGAAGTAATGAGGAAAGGGAGGGGGACGAAATATCAGCACAAGATCAAAGCCGTTATATCTTCATCCAACGGATCGTAACATATCTTACCCTCAGAAGCAGATCGCTCCCGGTAACGTATCCCATGTTCTGCGACCGTGAAAGCAGGGGAACAAAATGCAGATCAAATGTATCAGAAGAACGCCGCAAGTTACAAAGATTGAACAAATGTTGGATCGAAGGATGGGAGCTTCTTACCACGAGCTTCTCGGCGGCCTCGCAGATCTTATCTACCTTGGCTTCGGATAATCCCTTGATTCCCGTCAAGCTCTGCGAAAGGTCAAGACCCACAAAACTGATAGTGATAGGTTTGGTCGGTGTCTCAAAGGATCCTTTGGATACCTAGCACGAAGAGGAGAACAAACCTTCTTGGTGTGCATCATGAGTCCGTTGCAGGTGTAGATTCCTGCGTCCTGCAGCTTCTTGATGTCGCCCGCGTTGATGCCTTGCACAATTACTGCAGCGATCCCATGGATCGAGAAAGCGAGAAATTCCTAAAGAACTAATCCCAGATTCCATAGATCTAAGAGCAAACCGTCTTATAAACTTGGATCGACTTATAAGGAGATCAGATCGAACGATCAAACGTGAAATATCAATCGGATATAACCCCTTAATTAACCAATCTATTAGCATCAAGACCGGAGCATATGATCTGAAATCAAAACCCTGAACAGGTTCATGAGAAGCGAAACAGAAGCGAACTTATGACAGAAAAAAACAAATGCGAAACGACGAGCCGAGAGATACTTACGTTTGTCGATGGGCTCGAAGCAATCATCTTCCTCGTCTTCCTCCCGCTCCAGCAGCTGCAGCTGGCCTTGCTCTTCGAATCTGGGAGCCATCAGACACCGATTCAAAGAGATTGGTATCCCTCGACGGATCAGAAACCAAGAAGAGGAAGGAGAGGAGGATGGGAGAGATCTATTAACTTGAGGTCGATCATCTTGGCTTCTCGAATTTTGAAATCACAGCGCGCGCGAAAGGAGAGCGAGAAGCTTCCAATCTGGACTCCGCTCAACCTTCCGATACTTATAGCCTCGGACTCGGTGGCTCTTCCTCGAACGAGTTAATCCCAAGTCTCTCGAGTCCGGAGCTTCCGTTCTCATCACTGCTCGAAATTGAGTTGATCGTAACCCAACGGTTAAATTGCATCATTGTCTTTTATTATTATTTTTTTTATTTTTATAAGTCAAAAAATTTTGCTGCATATTTGTTAATAGAAAAAAATGTAATATAGAAAACTCTTCTCTTAAATTGAAATTTTAAAGAATACCATTCTTGATGAGAAATATTTTTTAATCATTATTTTAAATATATTTTAAAGATTCTTAATTTTATCTCCTAGATATCAACTACCTAACAAAATGGTTTTAGACTAAAAATATATCATCACAATTATTTAAATCATTGATAAGGAATATTCTGATAATAAATCCCAGCTCACCGATTGATTGCTAAATAAGTGCTAATGTGGAAGATGAGGACCGAGTCATCCTAATGAAAAAGTGACATGGAGACAGTTATAACCGATCAGCCCCGTGGATAATAATCCACGGGTCAATAAGACTAGCCCTATCAGCCTCTATGGTCAATTGTCCCATGGATAATAGTTCTAGCTTGTACACCCCCCCCCTCTCGATTGGCCTCCATAGATAATAGTCCACGAGAGACTATTCAGGCATATCGCCCTCGTAGATGAAATGCTAGAAGGATGACGTTATAACCTTTACAGATGAATGAGGGGTTGTTTAGGCCTATCACCCCCTTTGGACTAAACGCTAGGAGGAAAGTGTTGCGATTGTTACAAGTGATTCCCTCGATTGATTAGGTACAAAAATCGGATATCTATCTAAAAAATTCATTTTGCACTATATAACACGTAAATAAACTAATTTGAATGTCGGAGGGGTCGATTTGAGAAACTCCCTCTGATGCCAATCTTTGTGGAGGAGCCAACCAACAAGTTGGATTTCACCTCGGCCTAACCTCGAGCTTTCGAAAGCCATCCGAAGATCTTCTCAGAGTCACCTTGGACACGTCAGTGCCCCATCAACTGCCTCGCAAGACTATTATACGGGTTCCTCAAACACCCTCGCACCTTCCGATCCGGACCGAATCGAATTGACTCACGATCGATGATACTCTTTCCACAACAATTATACGATGGTTTGTATATGAAATTAGTCAAAAAAATTGAATCAAATTGATCCACGATTATATTAAAATATTTGTATTTATCCACCTATCCATCATAATGTCTCAACTTTGCTTGATGTTACTTCTTAAAAAGCATTTTAGGTTCCAAGCTTCTGAAGTTTGATACAGAATCTAGCTAGGTGGTTATGGCTTGTGATGTAGTTGTAGAAAGAAGTATGAACCCTATATTGTAGCAAAACATTAGATTTAGGATTAACAAAGAGGTGAGAAGGGAATTAAAGAGCACAAAGTTGAAACATAACTTGGTCCTTGCTTCAAAAGATAATATGACTCAATTTTTACCTTACATAAACATGGCTGAAGCTAATATATGAAAAATTCAGAATTGTGGTCAATTCCTGAAACACACAAGTTAAGCTGATGTGAGTAAATTGTACCTAAAATGAGGAAACTCTCTTCATGATGAACTACTCATATTTTGTAGGAAACAGGCTAAGGAAAGAAACTAGGGAGAGATGACCAAAAAATATTTTACTTTAATATTTAGAGAAAGAAAAGAAATTAGTTGATAGCTATATAGGTGGTAGTGAGATAGAGACCTAAAACCTTGGCGAGGTGAACCTTCAACTTCTTAGATGCATCTTGACACTCTTTAATCCATTAAAAACCTTTAAAGTTCTTCGATGCTTAAAAGAAACATAGACATTTTTTATCGGATCGAGATAAGAATTGACTAAGTGTTGCTAGCCAATCTATTAAATATTAAACCTCTCTTACCAACAGTACATTTTTAATATGGCTTGTGCCTTTTTAGAATTTGTATATACTCTTCTCTAATGCATGATAAACCCGAGGAGCTTTCCTATATTAACTTTGAAGACCCATTTAGTTGAATTGAGACGCATATTGAATTTTTTCAAAATTTTTGGTCATCTAGCTCTTCACTATCAAGTCATCCATATAAATTTTCACATTTCTCTCGATTTGATACTTGAACATTTTATTTATCATCCTTTGGTATATTGCTCTCATATTTTTTTAACTCAAAAGATATAACTTGTCTGCAATATGTGCCTCGATCCATTATGAAAGAGATATTTTTTCGATCATCCAACATCATTATAATTTAGTTGTACTCTAAGAGTATATCTATAAAAGTAAAAAGCTCATGACCAAATAAAGCATCAACCAATTAAAAAATCGAATGAATGGGGTAGCTATCTTTTGAGCATGCTTTATTAAGATCGATATAGTCAATACACATTCTCCAGTTATCATTAGATTTTCTAATAAGTACAATGTTAGGGAGTCATTAGGGGTACTATACTTAGGCAATGAATTATGCTCCTAACTAATTGCTCGCTAATGATCAAGGGCAAACTTATAAGGCCTTTGCTTCATTGGTTGCTCATTGAGAGAAATATTTAGGTGATGTTGACATACATTGGGGTTGATTCTTATTATGCTCCTTGACAACCATATGAACACCTTAGTATTCTTCTAGAGGAAATTATTGAGTTGCACCTTCCTCTCCTCAGGAAGGATTGCTCTGACTCTTTTGGGTTGCTTCTTGACTTTCTGATGTCAGCTCTTCTTAAAAACTTTTATCACCATTTGGTAAGTCAACACCATCGCCCTCGGTTTATTTAGTGTGGGTCAGCCTATAATCATATCATATGTTGAGGGAATATTCATCATCATGAACTTAGTCAATATTATTTTGGAGTAGCACTCATCTCTAAATATGACATGCACTAGAGGGGAGATGGAGTTGCTAATAAACCCTATCAATAAAGAAGTCATTGAAGTAAGGTTATTAATTGACAACCCAAGTTTTCAGGAAACATTAAAATAAAGAATGTCGGTAAGGCTACATGTGTCGATCATGACCCTTTTCACCTAAACATTAATCACCCTCATAAAGACCACCAAGGTATGATCATAATTTAAGTCGAGGTATCCTACCTCTTCCTCCTTAAAAGTTATCTTCATATCACCCTTCATCATTGAATGTTTTTCAATAGTAGCTCAGGCATAAGACTTACAACATGAGAAAATGTACCACCTAAGGTAGGTCTACTATTAATGATATTAATTTATTTCTCCACTAGCACTTTAGGTCGGGATGATGATTCTCAGTACTTTAGAACAGACCACCTAAGGTATCCTAATTGTATGAGTTTTTCAATATACTCTTTTCAAACACGATATTATTCAGTGTCGTGGCCATGATGATCTTAGTAGAATTGATAGCACTTGAACTTGTCTCTTTTTGCTAATGGGTCTTTATTGGGTTGGGTCTCATGAGAGTTCATTCTTCTTTATCTATAGGAAAATTTGGTTCTAGTCATATTTAGAGAGGTCAGCTCAGGCATTAGGTGAGGTAATTCAGGTTGTTCATTTCTTTTCCATCCCAATGACCTCGAGGTTAAAGTTGATTATGGTCGCTCCTACTTTAGCTTCTCTATCATGACTCCTCATGCTTGTTTGAGCCTAATGCCTCAGGTACAATTATCAATAGCTTCTCTATCAACAACAATAAAAGATAGGAGGGCCTTAGCCCCATTATTAAGATCTATATTATAAGTGATGGATAAGCATATATTATACTTTGTATCTCATTTGTAAACTGAGCAACGAAGTCTATGAGTATTTCTTCCTCTCTTACTTAAGCCCAAAGAGTATTGTTGCTAAAGGTTGAGAGCATATGTTCTGAAGTGAAGTTCAAACTCTATCACCACCTAAGCAAAAGAGTAAATGAAAAATTACTTTAAGCGAGCATATTGTCGGATCTCTTAATCTGGTCGGGAAAGTGTGACACATTAAGACATCTAAGATATCATATAATAATATTTAGACATGGAACGTTGTAATGTACTCCATCGAGTCAATTCTACCATTGAACCCTTCCAAGGATGGGAGACGAAAGTTCACTGGAATTGATTCCTCATAGATATTTTTGATGAATGACGATTAACTTGATATGGGGTAGACTAGTGCCTTCCTTTTGATTGTTAAAACTCTCATTGTATCTTCTCCAAATGCTAGACCATCTACCATTGTTAGATTTGCAAGGAATCCTCTATCAAGTTTGTTGATTAGGTCTTGGATTCAAGTAAAGCAAAGTGAGGGTAGTACAATTCATTGAATTTCATGGTTGGAGATATTGGCACCGCGTTGAGTTAGGAAATCTCAACGGGTACCAATGGTGATGGAGCTAGGGATTATGGTTGAGTTAGTGGTATTATCTATTAGACCAGTTAGGGTAAAAGTAGAGCGATGATTTATATCATGTCCGTTAACATCTATACTTATTGAGTGAGGTTTAAAAATACCTCAACGGGGACTAGGAGGTAGCCTAAGGTCATCCCTAGGAGAAGAGACCCAAGTCGTTGAATAGACGCCAATATCGTATCGAAGTTTGCATTAAGGTAGATGCACCAATGTGCGAAAAGGGTGAATGCTGTCCTGGTTGAAAGTATGATGGGTCAAGAGTAATACATCTTCGTTCCAATGTTTATTAAGATGATTAATGGGTGAGTGTTCTTACGATATCGAGCCCTCTTTCTAACTCCAAAAATGTTATAGGAAGATATTATTAATAACCAGGTCAGCATGATGTGGTTAAAGCTCGTATGTATAGGGTTATCCGAGGTGCCTTCGATGTGGATATATCGAGCACTCAAGGAGATTGCCCGAGATGCCTCAGGTGAAAATGTTGAGCTCTCGAGGAGATCATCCAATGTGTCACTTGTGTGAAGATCGAGATCGGGAGAAGTTTCTATGTTGGTCCATCTGATACCCAAGTTAGTAACCTGAGGTACATGAGTACAATTGTCAATGATAAAAAAGTGATCCTATAACTATATTAAAATTATGCTTTTATATATAATATTGAATGAACGACATATTATATGGAATATTATTTAAGAATAGTTTTTAATCATCTTTAACAATCCGAACTAGTTTCTTTTTCACTTAGGAGACAAAAGTAAAAATAACCCATAACTATTTGTCTGATATCCACATAAGTAGATAGGTAAAAACTAACTTTACTATCCTTCTTTCAGCCTAATTATTATACGAAAAACTCGTGTCATTCTATACTAATATTCTCCCTATCAAGCTGTTTTTCCATGAAAAATTAGCTAGATAGCAGTTGTAACGTTCAGATAGATACAGTTCTATTCTACGATTAAGCTAGATGTGATTCATCATATGCTTTCTCAGATCTGAGGCACTGCCAAATAGAAGAAAACAAACTTTGATGGTGGATAGAGCAGTCACTTTTGTGAATCACATAACCTGAAATATAATTTTTTTTTGAGAAAAAAAGTCTTTCTTTTTCATTAATTCAAGTGGCAAGCATTGACAGCTACTCCTGAACTGGCTTCAACCTCACCACCCTTTCTCTCTTCCACCGGTAAAGTTCCTTTTAATTATCACACTCCAAATCTGCGAGCTTTTGCATTAAGCCATTGCTGTGGCGACACAAAGCTGAGTCGAGGCAGCCTACGGAAGTGACAGTGGACATTTGGACGAGTATTTTAGAGGATACATGAAGAAGGTGGGAGCGGTAGTGCCGATAGTGCAGTCCTGACATGGAAAGCGGCATCCACATCCAGAGTCGAGTCCCGCACCTGCTTCGCACGTGAACCTATTTATGAAAAACCATAAATAGATGGCGTATTTGAAAAATATTAAAATAAAAAAAAGTATATAAAAAAAGTAATTTTTTTTAATTTACTTTCACAAGTTATATGGTCACTTATGTTTCGTAATATATTTATTAACTTTGGATGTATTTATATGCAATGGATTATTACTACTCTGTTTCATGATATAGATATGTGTTTTTCTAGTAAGGTAAGTAAAACTCAATTAAATTTAAAGTAAATAAAAATAATATTTTTTTATCATTAATTTTATTTGCGCTGTTGTTTCACTCAAAATTGAGTACTTCTGATCGACGTCAAACCACAATTGCAGTCAAAGCCGAAGCATCCATCTCGAGTCGTCACTTAAGCCTTTAAATAGAATGATCGACGGAGACAATGGGTAAGATATTATTGTCAAGTATGCTTCTAATGATTCATTCAATTCACCTAAGATAGGAAGTAAATTATATATGTTGAGCCACCTGCGATCTAAACTCTGCATGGGCTGCTGGTCAAACCTACGCATTACCGTTTCCCTCTCGATGAACCTCTGTCTTCGCTTTGTCTTACCTTAATCATGAGAAGGTCCACCATTGGACTTCTTCTTCGTCCTCTTCTTCTTCTTCGCCATCAAAGAAACAACCAAGGAAAAGAAAGAGAGACAGCAACATCAAAAAAGTAGCCAAGTGCAGATAAGTACTCACAACACGATCACCTCCTCCGTCCACGTTCATCCCCGCTAACAGTTCCGGTTTCGCGAGAATGAACCTGCCCGCCGTGCCCGTCGAGGTTCGTTGCTCCTACTCTTAGGCATTAAACTATATATATACGCCAAGTTGGACACGCTGTAATCCCCACCCGAATCCAAATCTATTAGAAGAGCCGGGGCGATCGAAGGGGGGGAAAAGATCTCATTTTTCCTCCAGCAATGGCTTCCATGGCCGCCTTCATCGCCGTCGTAGCCCCAAATTCTCTCCACTCGATCTCCAATCCTCTTAGGCCGCAGCTCCCTGCTCGCCTCCGCCGCGCGCTGCCCCCACCCGTCCCCGTCCCCGTCCCCTTCGCCATCGGCAAAGGCCGGAGCACTGCCCTCCGCCGCGCCGCCTCCTGCAGCCTGATCGAACCCGACGGCGGCACGCTGGTGGACCTCGTTGCGCGGGAGGGCCCGGCGAGGGAGGCGCTCCGCCGGGATGCGGCGCGGTGCCCGCAGATCAAGCTCTCGAGGATCGATCTCGAGTGGGTGCACGTGCTCAGCGAAGGGTGGGCGAGCCCGCTTTGCGGGTTCATGAGGGAAGCTGAGTTCCTCCAAACACTTCATTTCAACTGTCTTCGCCTCGGAGACGGGTCCATCGCCAACATGTCGGTCCCGATAGTGCTCGCGATCGACGACGCCCAGAAACGGGCCATTGGCGACCGCCGCAGGATCGCGCTTGTTGACGCCCGGGACAAGCCGGTCGCCATCTTGAGCGAGTAAGTAAATTTCGCTTCTTTTACCTCTGTATGTAGGAAAAGAGTTGTCAATTACTATAATAATGTGATTTGTGTTGGCCGACATTCCTTGATTGATATTAGTTGATGGTTAACTGTGGTGGGAATGCATGATTACTTATCGGAGTCAGTAGTCGTCTCTTTTCTTTTGCCTCTATAATTTTGAAGCATTATGGTGACAGTCTCTTCAGTGTTATTATTGGGTGTGTCTTCCATTGAAGTTTTGTTGTCCTTTTGTGATGTCTTAGAAGTTGACAGCACTTAAATTCGTGTTACATTAGTCGATAATTACCTGTGATTGTAGATAATCACTAGGCTTTGTTGCTTTATTAGTTAAAGTATCGTACCTTGGTAAATCGATGGATTGTTCAAATTTGATCTTGCCTTTTTTACATGGTGACAGTGCCATTGTGTCTTCTTCATTCATGCAAAATCCATTGATTCTGGGAGGGCAGTAGATTGATTTGTTTTGCTTTATTAATTTAGCTTAGCTGTATTGTTCGATGCCAAGGTTCGTTAATGATAATTTAATTTTGATCTGCACTGGTGGTCTTTGTTCTAATGACACATTGACTAATAATACATCCAGTTGATAAGAGTACTACGAATAAAGAAATGCTTACTCATCAAAAACACAATTGAATTGTATCGTCGAGTAAGGATTCCTAGGTCCAGATTTCAGAATTGTTTACTATTAGTTAAAGTTTGCTTTTTTACGCTGAGAATATCTAATGACGTCGGGAACCTGTCGACACTAGGGATTCACTCATACAATGGGTATTATGGGACACTTACAAGCCAGCCAGCGACATACATAAATTTTTTAAACTATGATTAACTATGAATGACTCATGGAATGAAACTTGTATAATATTTCTATTCATTGTGAAACTACAATAGTGCTGTTTCTTGCAATTGTAACCTTTTCTTTCTATATAACAAAATGATTCTTTGAGGCTGAAGGCCAAATAATGCAGCTTGAGAATTTTTTTTTTTCTATTTTTGAGGGTATACCAAATTTGCACCTTTTTCATCGTGCTTGCAACACCAAGTCCGACTCATCTAGTTATGCATTCTGTAGATGCTGTTTCATGATGACTACTTAGTGTCATAACTCATAAGAGTTTGAAATTGACAAAAAGTAGCCTGTTTTTTTCATTAGTTACGTTCATAAAAATTATGCTGTTTCCTGCCTCTATTACTTGTTCTTTGCCTCATTGTTTCTCTTCTTTTACATTTTCAATCAATCTTCAAATAAAACTAATATGCGGTTTTGGCACACTCTAATACTTATCTTTCGATATCAAATAAGGTGCCTAATGCTACCCTATTACCTTTGTCAAACACTAGTCACCAGCGACTTAATATTGATTGACAATTCACTGGTTTTTGTAATAGGCTGCATTTGACAAGGCTGTTCTGTCAATCTTGTTTATCAAAGCCCATTAATTTATGCATATTCCGACATTATTTTAGATTTTTAGGAACCTTGTTGATTATGTTTTGAAGCATTGAGATCTACAAGCATAACAAAGAAGAACGCATTGCAAGAACATGGGGAACAACAGCTCCTGGGCTGCCATATGTCGAGGAAGCAATAACAAACGCTGGAAACTGGCTAATTGGTGGAGACTTAGAGGTTATAGAACGAATTAAGTACAATGATGGTCTTGATAAATACCGCCTATCGCCAGCTGAACTCCGAGAAGAATTTTCTAGGCGCAATGCAGATGCAGTATTTGCCTTCCAGCTGCGCAATCCCGTACATAATGGCCATGCCTTGCTTATGACAGACACTCGTAGATGCCTTCTTGAAATGGGCTACAAAAACCCAATTCTTTTGCTTCATCCCTTGGGAGGCTATACGAAAGCGGATGATGTACCCCTTCATTGGAGAATGAAGCAACATGAGAAGGTTATTACTAATACAACTACCATATATTTTTCCTTATGATAATATGCACATCATCCAGGGTCTTTTTCTTTTTCATTTATCTTCCTGTAGAATTCCATACTCAAATGTTTGTACCCTGTAGCAGTCTTGGCATATATCCTTCTAGATACTAGGTTATGCATCTCTGTCCCCACACACACGTTATCTGAAATTTAAATCATGCCTTTGTAGATATATATATATGCTTACCCCTTTGCAACTTTGGTATTCATAGGTTCTCGAGGATGGTGTTCTTAACCCGGAGACTACCGTTGTTGCGATTTTCCCTTCCCCCATGCACTATGCTGGCCCAACTGAAGTTCAATGGCATGCAAAATCACGCATAAATGCTGGTGCAAATTTCTACATTGTGGGCAGGGACCCAGCAGGTATGAGTCACCCAATAGAGAAAAGGGACCTTTATGATGCTGACCATGGGAAGAAGGTGCTCAGCATGGCTCCAGGTCTCGAAAGGCTTAACATCCTACCGTTCAAGGTATTTCAAACGCTTGAGAAATTTCAGTTTGATGATTTGCTTAAGTAGCTGTATGGTCTTTTCGAGATTAAGCTTTTTTTTTTCTTCTCCTGAATTAGATACATAGCTTTACTGCCTACACTAGATTTAAGGATAACGGAGACAAAATACAATTCCAAATGTAAAACCCTTGCTTGATCCATATGGATCAGAGGTTAAGCTGAAATAAAGGAAAACGTTTTCATAGTTGGAAAACTTGGTGGAAGCTTAATCCTGTTACAAGCTATTCTTGACACTACATTTATAAGCTTTTACAACCATGTTTATCCCATTTTTTCACTTGTACATTATATGGTACCTGTTAATACCGACATTGTGTTGTTTATGTATCACATGCTAGGCCTCAGCATGACCCGTTAGTTTACTTCGTTGTAGGAGTTCGGTATGATATAGATCATTAGGTGATCTATGATTTGGGAAACCTAGTAGAAACTTTTAACTGTTTCATAGGCTTTCTGCATTGATGTCATTGTTTGATAAACTACAAGTGGCCCTATTGTTATATTCTGAAATCTATGGAATTACCTACCTATCTTCACCAATTCCTTCACTTGTTCCTTTTAACAATGCATCCTTTACTGCTGATTAATGCAACACAACAGATTTAATGCTTCAAGTATCTTGGGGATCGATGTGGGTTCTAAGCATTTGTTTCTTGATACAAATTTAGGTAGCTGCCTATGACAAGAAGCAGAAGAAAATGGCTTTCTTTGATCCATCCAGACATCAGGATTTTCTTTTCATCTCCGGTACAAAGGTAAATTCTGTTTTGCTGGGGAACATGCTAATCAACACCATATAGAACTGCTTTTGAGGTAGCATTGTTAATACGCTAAATTCTTCTTGTAGATGCGGACTCTCGCAAAGAACAGAGAGAATCCACCAGATGGCTTTATGTGCCCGGGTGGATGGGATGTATTGGTCGAGTATTATGATAGCGTGGCTCCACAGGGAGCCAACAAATTCCGCGAAGCTGTTCCGGCTTGAACCAAGAAAGGTTGCTCATCAAGCAGCATATTGGCTCTCCGTGTATGATAAAGAAGTGGCTGAAACCCCTGTACTACTTGCAATGTGTGTACGTACTTTGTATGCAATAATTCCTTGTGTGTGCAAGCGTGACGATGAAGAACTTGATGAAGCTGTGAACTGTTACCACAGCATGTATGTACAGACTCTGCATTCACTGACTTACGTGTGCTGTGTGAAGCAATGGCTGCAATAAAATGTGTACAAACACCGATATCCATTGCAACATTCGTGTCGTTTTGTCGCATGAAGTTTATGGGAACTGATCGAGACCGTGACGAGCTAAAATGTCACGAGGTATATATTCTGCATGTGAAATTACGAGAATCGACTCGAGTTCTTAACAAGAGCTATAAATGCTGATTCTGCTACAGTGATCTTACCGCAGGAAGAACCTGGAAAAGCTCGCTCGATTCAAGTCATACCAATATCAACCATCGATCAAACTGCAGTTGTATATCATCCGTCTCGACCAAAAAAATGTGTAACCAGTCTCTTCCCTATGACTGCTTGCTGATGACAACAGACAAACAAACACACGAGACACCGATCATGGTTATCACTCTGGATATGTATGATTGTATGACGAAGAAGAAGAGAAAGGAGCGATTTGGTCTGTCGTTTACGGTGCGTCGTCGAGCGGTCTGCGAACCGCGCGGAGCTGCAGGGAGTTTTCGAAGCAGTGGTCGAAGCCGTAGTGCGGGTGCGTCTCGCGCCATGTCTCTTGCTGCACATGCGTGTCCCAGTGCTCGCCGCTGCTGCTCTTGCCGTACTTGTGAACCCACCCGGTGCCGTTGTGCTGCTCCCCCCAGGTGCGGTTCCACCGCTCCCCCCCGTGCCGCCCTTCCCACCACGTCTCCCCCTGCTTCACCCCGTGGCCGTTCCGGTGGAAGTGCTCGTCCCACTTGTCCCCCCATTTCGACCACCCATCGCCTTCCCACCGCTCCGCCCACTTGTCCGTGTACTTCATGCTGCCACCTCTACCGTCGTACTTCTCCCCCCATCTGCAGAAAACAACATCGGATCATCGTGGTGTAATCACGAGGTTCTCTTACGACATCAAACGAGGCGAATCAAATACCTCTCGTGCCAAACGTGAGCATGGCCAGCTTGCAATGGTGTCCTGGGGTCGATGCAGCACCACTTATGGGCCCATTTTTCAGCTTGCCCGGAAGCATCATAGTGTTCCCACCACTTCTCTTGCCACTCCTCGCCCTCGACGTTCTTCCCCCATTTGTCCGCCGTCTTTTCCATATGGATTAGCCCAATCCTCGTGTCCTGCAAAGCCAAAAGACACACGTTTCACCACTTCATAAATCCTTACCCATGCTCGATGAATATGCTCAATTGCGGTCATGAGGGCAATCCATGTCTTTCTTCTTCTAAACTACCAAAATAAACCAGGAAAAAATGGTATATATATTCTCACCTCCCACATCGATTCCTTCCAAAATTCACGCCAAACGTTTCCAAACGCATCACGTCCAGACTTCTCCGAACCGAGCTCTTTGTATTCATACTCATCAGCAGCCTCCCAAAATTTGTCTTCCCACTCGACAGTTCTGTCTGCGCTCACACCCCGAGTCAATGTCCACCTGCAAGTCACCCCATCAGGTCTTTGTTCTATTCCTGTCTCTCTCCACCACTTTGAACCATCCGGATTAACACCATGATCTGATTCTTCATTGCTCTTGCCGAGAGCTTCGGCGGCCTCAGCTGCATTTCTTGAGAATAGCTCATCGACCTTTTTCTCCTCTGCTGCAGTAGACAGCTCCTCTGTCGTGCATGTTTCCACTTTATCAACCTCTACGAGGGACTGAAGTGGAGGAAGAGGAGGATTGTGTTTGACTTCAGATAATGTGCTCTCTAGAGGGATTGCTAGAAACTCTGTAGACTTCTCCTTTTCGATCACGGAATGGGATGGATGTGGTTGTGAGTTTAGTTTCCGTGCAGACTTGAGGCCAGTGCCATCGCCGATTGGTTCTCTCTGGCTGTCTGAAGGAGGTGACCATGACCAAAAATCCGGGCCAGGAGATCCATTTTGTGCATTTCCTGATTGATAGAACTCTGAATGTTCTTTCTGCAATCCTGATTCAAAGGAAGAATTCTAGTAAAAGCAATCACCAGTCCAAGTTTCTGCTTTACATTAGATATGGCTCAAGTGGCGAAAAATGAACGTTGTCATCATTTGTTACACGTAGTAGACAAGAAGAGAAACAATCTACATCAAGCTATCATTATCGTATCAGGGAAAATCCATATTCAAATGTTGGTGATAGAATGCATGTAATGAACAGCAACTGTGACTCTCCAATCCAGCCCCAAGCTACAAGTGGGGGTGTTGGAGGATAGTTGCAATGGTATTTAGGGCTAGTTAAGCATTTTGGGCAACATGACGACATGTCTATCAAGTTATCAGGTCCAAAATTCCAACGCAATTGGACTACTCACATATCATATACTAGGGATATTGATTCATTAACCTGCAGAAGTGATACCTATATGTCAAGTGTGCATATGCCACTGGAGAAATGAAGATGTGAAGCACAAAATGATGTATTGTAAACCACAGTGTTGTGTTGTCAATGTAAAACATTGCTTATGAAGAGTTGGAAGTGCTCCTACATGTGACTTATGCCTTCTTACAAGAAATATTCCCGAGACTTGAAAGAACAGAGTTGCAAGAATGCAATCTTGCTGAATTAGGAAACATGCAGACTAAATTTTCAGTGATGAAGAGAGACATCATTCGTTATTGCAGGAAAAAAGATGTGCAAATACCGAGATGAGGAACTAATTCTTGATTGTTCATCGATTAATCCCAAGAAAGTGCAAGGAACGAATCTTTAATGGTGCAACCCAGTCGAAGCAGAAAGGGCGGCGGGGTTACGCACCTTGTTGAGTCGGAGACGCGTCGGGGGGCTCCGAGGCGGCGGGGGGAGGGGACTTGTCGAGGAGGGCGCGGGCGGCGGCGATGGCCGCGGCGGCCCGGTCGATGACCTGGAGCCGCTGGATCCGGTCCCGCTCCTCCGTGGGAACCTGGAGGAGCTTGTTGAAGTGCTCCGTCTTCGCCTCTAGCGACGGCTCCACGCTCCCGCCTTCGCCCCCCTCGGCGGCGATCCGACGTGACGCCAGGACCCGGCGCTCGCGCTCCATGGCCTTCTTCCACATGTCCAGGTAGGAGCTGCCATCGGGGCCGGCGGCTGTTGCGGCGCACCGCGGTCTCCGCCCGCCGCGCCAGGGCGCAGCAGGGAGGAGACCGCTGCGGAGGTTGGCGCGGGCGCAGGCGCTAAGTTGCACCGACATCGTCAAGAATTGGTGGAGGAGTTGGGGAATGCCACAGAATGGTCTTCTTATAGAGGGAAAATTATTCGATCTTATTTTTCTGGGGTTCGTTATAATCCGTAACTACTTTCTTTAATGCCAACGGAAAAGTTCATGCTTTGCTTGGGATCGAAGGGAGGGAGCGATGCGTCGTTCGCTTTCTGTTGGCTCTCTCAACTTACCCGCACTCGTGAGTTGGAGCGAGCGAGTTGGGCTTTGGGCTTCGTTATCCGAGAGCGGTGCGAAGTTGCCACGTGGAGGTTCCTACGCCGTTGGTCGGCTGCTTCCTGCGCAGCCCTCACAAAACCACGTACCATTCTCGGGGAATGTGATACTTACCATATGCTTAATCGTGATTGATTATATTAACTGCGCTGCAGAATATATTATGGAAAGGATTAAGGGCCCGACTTATAAAATTGTTTCAAATAATTTAGGAAACAAATAAGAAGTGAACTTAATTATTAAATTATTTATTTACATTAAATTTTTTTAGATCAAGTTATTATTTTTTAGGACATTTGCTGGATTAGTTAATATCAATTTCACTCTTTAGCACACTTAGTTGTGAGCTTTCCTATCTCGATTTAAAAATAATTTAAACTACTGATATTATCAATTTACTGTAGCAGAATCAACATTTATGAAATTTCCTCCAACCTCGTTCTTCACCAAATCAAAAGATATATCATTCCAATAAATCCAAATGAGTTAGCCGCTCGTCAGAGCGAAAAAGCTTTGATTTGCTTGTGCGGGTTGGGCCCTATTCTCCAATTACATCGATCAAACCGGAACGTCACTACATATCGGGGATCGAGTACCGGAGTTCTCGCTCCGTTGCTCCTCCACTATTGTGGAATCATAACAAACCATGTGCATGTCAAGATGGTACCGGTTGAAAGCAGGTGAAGGGACGTTCTAATGGTGCACACGACGTGTTTGTGGTAATTATTCTCATTAAAGTTGGGGCGGGGTCCAAACGAACTCGGGAAGAGCAGCAGCGACATCGCTCTTTGATGGCAGAGCGGAGGACGTCACGGTGGTAGCCCCACCGCATCTGCGGACTTGTACAGCTTTGCACCCGCAACAGGGGCAACAACATGTGCTGCCACCTCTCCCTTTCGAGGCCTCCCACCACCGTTCGAACTACCGTTACATCACAACTACCGTTCGAACTAACAGCACGCAAGCCTTACCGCCTGTTCTCCATCGCCACGAACATGTTGCCTCCGTTTCCCTTTCAGAAGACGAGCTTGCGGCGGGGGAGAAGGGGGCGGCGCTCTGCCGCGCAGCCGGCGTCGGCGAGGTCGCGGATGGTCTCGGCAACGAGGTCCTTGAAGATCAGCCGCTCGATGTGGAGGACGGCGTCGGACATCTCGGCGGCGGGCTGGGCCCACCCGTCGGCGCGCCCCGCGGCGATGTCCTTCCGCACGGCCCCGCACGCGGCCCCCTCGTGGTCATCCGCGGCCTCCTGCACCCGGACGCGTCGGAACTCCGCCCACACCTTCGGCAGCGCTTCCTCCTCTCCCCCGGCGCGCGAGAAGGCGTCCCAGGGCGACACGTGGCGCTTGCGTTCCAGGATCTCGGCCACGGTGTCGAAGACGAGGCGGTGGTGGAGGCAAGCGGTCTTGGACTTGTCGGGGGCCTGGCGGCGGCATCGGCGCTTCTCCAGGATCGCGTACACGGCGTCGGAGGCATCGCCGTAGCGGTCGGACGCGCGGAGGACGTCGCATACGTAAGCGTAATCCTCGTCCGCCATGTCGGGCCCATCGATTCCGCACCCATGATTCGTCGACGCCGCGGAAGACCAATGCTCCTCTTCCCAGTCGTCCGCCACTTGATCTGCGGACCAGATTGCATCAAGTTCCGCAAATATCAAGCAAAAAGGGTCCGTCCTGATTAAATCTAAAGCAGGAAAAGCCGCAGTCTATTAAAGAAAGCGAAATAGACAGGTGGTCTTGCCAGGTTGGCCACAGCTGGGCGGAGAGAAGGGCGGGGAGTTGGTTTCGTTACACTACCTTTGAAGTCGATGGAGCGCTTGGCGAGGGGCGAAGGCGAAGGTGAGACCTCCTCGCCGAGGTAGGACAACGAGTCGAGCACCGACACGGGGCTCGGCTGCTGGTCCGTCGCGGTGTCCTGCTCCGCCCCCGTGAACGCCGCAATGCTATGTAGTAGCTTGTCGCACCGCTCCAATAACCTTCGCCCCGATCTCTGCAAATGCATCGCCCGTCCTCCAATTAACAAATCATGTCCAAAAAGAACAATGCCAAAAGACTTGTATTTATGAGGAGAAACAAGCAGCAGTACTAGTCGATGTTGTTATACTACCTCGAAGTCTAATTGAGGGGAGGCACAGATGCTACTCCCAGAAATGATAGTTGTGGCGTCGTCCTCTGCCGGCGGGCAAACCCTCTCCCTAGGTGACGCATCCGCCGTTGGCCTCCGGCTCCTCGGCGATCGGACGGCCAGCGGATCCGGTCCCGTCCTCTTTGGACTCGACCTTGGAGAACTGACGGTCGACATTCTCCGCTGGGGCTGCGCGCTCTTCTGGGCCACCGCATTTAAATGTCTCCTCTGCACCGGCGAGCTCGGGCTCTCGGGCGACCTAAGCGCTCGATTCCTCCGCTCGTTTCCTCCCTTGATGCTCCGATCGACCGTCCCCCGCTCGCGGCGGACTGGCGGAGCACTCTGGCGACAGGAGCCGGGTCTGGGCGGCAGCGGCTCGCTCCACGGACGCTGCGGTGGCTTCGAAGCCGGCTTCATGATGACGATCGGGGCGTCGCTGGGGATCTGGCTCTGGTAATCGTAGATGAGAGTTCGATGGCCGGTGGCGCTGCTATCACGGGGTTTGGAATGGAGAAGCCCCCTCAAATGGAGCGCCTCCAGGATTTGTTTCAGAGTGTCCAAATCCCTCGCCGGTTCGTCGATTCCTCGCATCCTTAGCCGCTTCTCGATCTCGATATAGAGAGTTCCTGACTGCTTAGGCTCCGGGAAGAAGTCCTCCGCATCGAAGAAGCTTTTCCGGTGGAGCGGCGGGAGAGAGTTCGTTCTTGGCGTCGGCTCGAGCTTCTTTGTCTCATTGAGCCTGAACTGGGCCAGATTCACCGTCTTAAAGAACTCCTTGGTGGAGATCGGGGCGGCCTCGCATGGGAATGGCGGCCTCTTGTGGAATGAGCCCGCGTCCATGAACCCGTAGTACGACGGGTCTCTCCGAACCCGGGACTCGGAGGCAGATCGCCGGAGTTCAGCCAGGTCCAACTCTGTTCTACAGACGCCGCCGACGCTGGGCAGGGCGTCGAGCCCCATTAGCCGCACGACGACACTTGGGGAACGACGCTGCTCGTCCGCCGCCTCAGAAGCGTCAGACTGGTCCCCGGAGGGGACCGGAACAGCCGTCCGGATCTCCCGGGGGCGGAGCTTGCCCTTTGCGTCGACCACCGCGCGGCTGTCGAGAGAGAGCCTTGGACCTTCGCGGAGCCTCCAGGTGGTCCTCGCCCCGTCCTTGGCCTCGAAGACCGGGAATGGCAGCGGAAGCGTCCGCTGCCCCGGCGTCTCCGCCGCGGCGCGGTTCTCCGAGCAGGCCTCTGGCGACGACGGCGGCGGGTGGCTCTCCTTCAAGAACGACGAGGACGAAGCCTCCGATCTCTCGGACGGCGACGTCGATCCGGCAGTCTGATACAAGCCAACCGACCATCAGAAAGGCAGCCAAAAAAACATGAATCACATGTTTTAACTCCAACATTCTCACCGAGCAGGTGGCGAGGCGGCGGGTGGAGTAGTGGCGCCTTCCGGGGAGGACGTGGTGGCGGTCGAATATCTGGAGGAACCCAGCCATGCACCCCATCTGCCTGTCGATCTGCCGCTCGAGGCGCTGCTCCTGGGCTACCCCATTGCCGACGCCGGGCGTCATCTTCCTCCGCTTTCTCCGGGGACCTTCTCAGGTCAGATCTCGGCCACTCTTCCTACCTCCAACTCCTCTGCTCCCAAACTCAGCTGCACCCTTTTCGCGCACACACACATGCAACGCTTGTGCGCAGCCTTTATTCATCGCAACTCCCGCTGAAGTGCTTTTAGAGACCAGAGCTCGACAACTAAATGACGTTACTGCCCCTAGTGATTCCCTATAATGCCCAACGCATCCCCGTTCTTGGGCGCGATGGGGCAGTATAGGATTTTGCGCGGGCAGAGTCAGGCATCAGAGCGAGGGGGAGCTTTAGGGGCGCCCCTTTACGCCTTTCGAGCTGCAGGCGAGTTTGACCGCTTGACGACGAGACGAGACCCTCCCCAGCTCTTTCTTACGCGAGTCGTCTCCATCTCGACGAGGCGCTCGGTAAAAATTATTTTACCGTATGCTCCGGTGACAGCCACTTCTATCACATTAATAACAATATAATGATAATATAATTTTCATATAGGTGTGGTGAAAGTAATCAGCTATGGGCGTGCAAATGTTTCGCCAGAGCGGTGCTTCCATTTCTAGAATGTCACATGGCAAGCAACACCTGATGTTGATGTTGGCTTTAGGATTCGTTTTATCTCCATTATCATCCAAAACTTTTTTAACTTTGCGCCGGTGAGTGCGTGATTCATTTTAGCCTCGCTCGATTGAAGAAACACTTGAAGGATGAAGTGGAGCCATCTCCTCTTTCTTCGCTACTTGAATGTAGCCAGCCAGCATCTGTTAGGCTAAGCTGTTCGCATTAACGCGCTTCACGTACCTCCCGGTGACCGCACCACTTTTAACCTTTTTCACTCCGTGATAGTGAGCACACGGAACCTTTCGTCGGCGTCACCCGCGCCTCGAGTCTGTACAATGTTATCATCACCAAACGTATGGGGCACAGCATTTTGTCGTCTGTTCTCGTGTATCCACTCTTCACGATGGCCTAGAATTAGGAAAATAATAGTTTGGCTGGGATGAAATGAGAAGTGCGTAGGGCTGCCTCAAATCTGTAGCTCTCAGAGGACCATGGATCAGTACACTCTAACGTACTCCCAATTTGAGTAACTACGCGAAGGCTACGGCATGCCGTGTGACGCGAGTCACGTGACTCCTCCGGCGGTAGAAAAGCCGAGGGAACACGCAGGGCGTGGATGCGACGACCATGTAGCCCTTTCGGTAGCAGCAAAAGTGGGGGGAGTCGGCCGTGGAATGTCTCGATGATCATGATGAATAGGGTCATCTCCTCTGGGCCGATGACCGCCGTACGCGTACCCCCTACACGAGACCCGCGGCACCTTCAACCTCACTCGGCCAGAGTTTGGCAGGTCCATATCGCAACGTCTATCCTTCTTTTATAAATACAATTATGTGAGACGGCTTGTATTTGTTGACGAAAGAATCCGGAGCACATAAGACCCAACTTAAAACCCTAAAAGAGGCTGTTAGCGACACAAATTATAGGATGTAATTATTACAGACTGGACCTGCTTCTTGTGGAGGGGACCATATCGATCGATCCTAAAAAGATAATTTTGGAAAATTCCAATGGTGGAGTATAATTATGAAGCAACTATTAAAATAGAAATGACTACATTGCAAGACAGCTGTTAGGATTTTGCAGAGAAATCAATGCCACTACTGAGGCCATCGGATCCATATTTATATCATATAGACTGTTGATTTGCCTGCTTAATAATTCATCTGAGCACACACACTGTACATTATGGGGACACGGCCAGCTCCTCTAACAGCGACGCATTCTCTACAACGCAACATGCTGTTCCTTTATGTTTCTATCGCACATTTATAGCACAATGAACATTCTTTGCTTGGGTCTCTTGTGCGTTGAGGTTGGCGGTCATGTGGGGTGGAAGCCTTTAGCATTAGATTTATCCCTTCTCTTCAGATCTCCATCTCCTAAAACATACGTTCAGACAAAGCTAAAAAGCTGAAGGAACAAAAGGAAGGCCATCTCCCTTGCTTTTCCATGTGAGATCCAATCTTTCTTTTTTTCGCACACTCGTCTCTCCTTTACATGCTCCTCACACATGGAAGGTCTCATAAAGCATGTATGTATACTACATGCATGGATGGCTTTGTTCCGCTGTATAGCTTTTCATTGACACCACCCACTCCCACATGCATCCATCCATCCATGCAGGCGGGTGACGTGTACCATTTGGTTAGGCCAGCTTTAACCCTAGCACACTCATAGCCATCTGATCCATATCAAGGGGAGGGATATCAGGGCCTCAGAATAATGAGGTACGTGCTCTTCACTAGTTCCCATGCGCTGGTTCTGTGATTGTGGAGGGCACAAACACTCAGGCCAGTGCACGGCTCCCATGTCCTTTGATCAGCCACCCAGTTCTCTCTCTTTGCCTGCATTCCTTGTATCTTCTTCCACCCCTTTCACCCCACTCTCACATCCCATCATGCCACCATTTGTTCAATTACTTTATCCAATTGCCCATGGAGATCCTTTTTCATATTCTGTGACGGATCTTACAGACATGTACAATTTTTGTGTTTTAACAATGGTGAGGCTTGTGGTTGGGCTAAACCAACCTATTTAAAAAAAAAACTCTCCTACCAAATCTAGATAGATTTCTTTGGTACAGTTTTATATACTACGATCTCAGAGGCCATTCGGCTAGAGATAGATCTAGGGTTTCTGTTGAGCAGCTCTGAACCATTCTCTTCTCTTCCTTTGCTTCAATAAAGAATGGTAGTAGTGTTAGGCTTCTTGGCGTGTGTAATCTCCTCCATGATTTCAATATTTACGATGATCATGAGTGCTAAGGCTGAGCTTATATTTTGTAGACCTAGGTTTCCAAGGAGAGGAGCCTAAGAAACCTGTCCATCATGATTGGGGGTAAAGATCTCTTGGAAAATGCCAAAATTCCTTGTAGGCCATGACACTTGAAGAAGAGAGTCCCTAGCAAAAATTTTAATAAAGTAATCAAACTTTAATGAACTGGAGAAGGATTCCATCATCAGTAGTATCATAGCCTATATATATACATGACAGTACAGGAGGTCTGATTATGTGATTTCATATGGCTGGTTATGTTGTAATGAGATCAACCCAAAACTTTGTGTCGTTATCCCAATCAAAGTTGGGTTAGTGAGGATCAAACTTTGGCATGAACATCTTGTCAAGAGCAGCAGCACATCTTACACTTGCAAACTCAACAAAGCATATCTTTTTGGTGGACTGGAATCTGATTTAGTCAATGAAGCATCATCCTTGGTCGGCACTCTAGTTAAGAGAGTCCATCATCTCAAGAGATGACCATGTGATAGAAAGATGGCCACAGTGACAGTTCTAGTTAACAAGGAGGGAATCTTTTGGGAGTGGCATACAAGGAAACAACAGCATTATGACTGGAATTGGAGTGAGGGCCAGGGCATGTACCCCTCACCCTGCAATCTCTGCTGTGATGACAGTGAGCACAGGGGCTCGGTTCTGGGGAGAACCAATGAGATGAGGGGCATAAGGCCCCAAGGTTACATCATCCCCTTTGAATGGATGGGGGTGATTTGAGGTCTTCTTACTCTCCCCGCCATGCCTGGGAAAATGAAACCAAAGCTTAAGCCATCTTGTGTGTGTGTGTGTGTGTGGCCATGAGACGGTGCCCACCTCACATCTGCCTTCTTGGTTTGTGGATACGAAGCTGTTCATGTAAGACATAATACATGGTGATGAAGCAAACTATAATAAGCACACACTCATGTCATGGAAATAACGATAGTGATGTCAAGTTACTTGACTACTAGAAAGTAGAAACTATTTATTCTCCGTCTCACACTCGCTAGCTTGATCCGTCTGTTTCATGATTCACATATACACACAGTTGGCACTGTGGATATATATGTTTGCGACTTAATCTGACATGATTGGCGGCCAAGTGGGCTACTGGCATTTCCAGAGAGTCGCAAGGTTATCTCTGAAGACAACAGTGTGACGCATCCGAAACAGATTATTGAAGGTGAAGGACAGCTTCACTTGCTCGTGATCCCTTCTGCCCTTCGGGTCGATGGTGATGTTATCATCAGCCCACTTAGGTAAACGTATCAGATAACTTACTGTGATTTGATGTTCTTTCTTCAGAGCCATGTTCAGCGAGTGCCAGAATCTGAATCCTCTTCCATTACCTTCTTCTTTGTATATTTGTTTGCATGATATTAGCTGCGGGAATTGCTCGAATGTGGGTAGTCATGACACATATGAGGAGCGGAGGTGCATGCTTTACTTGGAGAATTATCCCTCGCAGGACAACCGTAAGGAAGCTGTCAGAATGCTGAGATCCATCCAATGGCAAAGCAACAGGTTCAGTAATGAGCCACTCCCTGCTGAACCTACCTTTGGGTGGGGGGGGACAAAGATTCACACTGAAAGCCAGGTGGATCATTATTGTGGCTCTGAGGTCACCAGGTCAATCAGTCAAACTGCCAAACCTGGTATCTATGTGGTGTCAGGAGTGATGACAAATAAGCAACCACTGACACATGAGCATCAGCTGGTTTATCCGATACAACATGATGATGTTGATGATGCAATCGGAGCATGCAGCCCAGCTGCTTGACAATATGACTGAACCAGATCAATATTTTTGCAATGACTTGAGCATGAGCTAATCTTGCACAAGGAGGAGCAGCAACCTTCCATGTCCCAGAGCAACTTGACTGAGCCAACTTTTGCGCCGATACCAGAAAGTTTCTGCTTGCCTTTGTCAGCTTGTGACTGTCTAGTAGGATTTACAGGCTTCTGAATTGAGAGTTATTATGCAGCAAGGACTTGGATTGTTCTGTCCACCCCACTCATTCCATTATTGCAGTCACTAGGACAATTGTCAGCCTACAAGGTGGCACATTCTGAACAAGCATTGAAGAGCGGTGGAGGACCATCGGCTGGCTGCTTGCCTGCAGCAGCGGTGTGCATCACCTTTAAAGTTTCATTGAGTTGGATCCCAGCTATAGGGGTGATGGTCCCAAGAGTCTCCAACACGTAGGCCTTGCTTGTGCATCGGCACCACACTCCCAGTAATTCATCCGCACTGTTCGATTAGGCTTCACCGGAGTCTGGAGAGACTAATGCATTCTTCAATTGCTGTTGCAGGTGAACTCGGATGATTGTGCCGGCCGTATCGGTAGGAGGGGAGGACCACCGGCCTTGAAGGTGAACACAGGGTTGAGCCAGCATTGAAGCGGAGTGCGGCAGCAGGCTGCATCTCTTGCACTGGTGTGTACCTTCAAAAGCTCCACATATTTGGATTCTAGCTGAGCATGATGGTCCCAAAGGTCTCCTGCTCCGAGGAGGAGAGGGTGACCTTGTTCAAATGGATTCATTGATCCTGGCCAAACTTGTAGGTGAGCTCCAGGTATTCACTTACTTTAATCCGAGAGATACTCCGTGATTCCACCATAATTATATCTATCGGCAGATCTTTCGATGTGGAACAGCAAGATCAAAGCTTGGGTCGTGAGTTGCTCGGCTCCCAACATTGGTCACCCTGCTCGCATGGAGTTGTCAGTCTCATCTACACGGCTCAGTGTTTGCGAGAGAAATGACCAACAAATGGGTTCTTGAACGGAAACGAGATGTATAAAATGCTGCTGTTGTCATAGCTGGAACATCAAAAACCATGCAGTCGGTATCTTCTGCAGGTTTAGACTACTAGAAGACTCGTCTCGGAGAATGTTATAATGAGCATATGGAGGGGGAAAAGGACAGTGTGTGGCCAAGTACGAGGCGGCTTGAAGCCTTCTTCGACGGACAAATTAATAGGTCGATGAGCTTTCGCGGCTCACGAGTGGCGGAGGGGGATAGGTTTATTTGGGAAGACCAGGAACCAAAGACGACGACTGTGACTCTTCTTCGAGGCTGTTGGACGAGATGACTTATCACAATTGTCTGCAGTCAAGCTGAAACACTTTCTACGGTCCGCGGGAAACTGTGCAAGTGTTCATCCCTGAGCTTACGGCCAATGAAATGAAGTGATGAGTCGGCGTCTCTGAGCCCGTGAGTGACAAAGCTACAGGATAATTATGATTACACCTCTCTCTCTCTCTCTCCCCCCGCGATGCAGAGGACCACCACGGCAACTTCCTTCTATGTGCGCACAAAGTTCCGGAGTTCCCACCTTCACCAGGTTCACACTTCTCTTTGTACTACGCTTGTCCAAACATTTAGTGCCTCCACCAAGGATTAAACTCATCTTTTTCTTACAGCAAGGATGACATGTCGCATTGTCATCGTTTGCAGAATGAATCGCATAATGGAAGCTCTGGTTTAGGGGGTCTTCAAGATGGGCTGCAGAGCTCTGGTACAACACGGTTGGATCCATCATCCCTGATTTCATGCTTCATCGGTTCTCAGGTTGGCTTTCGATGTCAATAAATTATAGGATTTACATAAATAAAGGAACATCAATTCTTTTTTCTTAGGGAATATCAAATCTCGTTAATCATCATAATCAATGGGTATTAATTTTTATTTATTTATTTATTTTATGTAGCAACTCTGACATCATGAAAACATAAGACAGCTTAGTAAAAACCAATTTAAAATTGAAACCTAATAAATTAAATTATCATGATGATCATATCTTGGTAAATATGTCTGTTGATGATGAATAGTAGTATGAGAACTTATGTCAAATGATCCAAAATCAGCAAACATGCCAAAGTATTAGAGGGACTAATAGTTAGATTATCAGATTGTGAATAATAGGGTCTCACTGGGGACAGACATGTTGAAGAAAAAAAAAACATATTAGAATATATTCTGTGCTTTTAAAAGTTTACATGATTAGATTTATAAGTTTGAAGAAAACAAAATAGGTACACCCAAAAGCTTTTAAGATGGAATAGCTGAGAGTATTATCACAAAGTTGGTCATATGAAATTGATGAACAATAACACAAGATGAGATGCCATTAATTTGCATATATGGCGGTAAGAGCATAAGTAGATTGAAGAAAAACATGAATTCCAATATATATATATATATATATATATATATATATATATATATATATATATATATATATATATATATA